CTGTAGTGGAGTATTAATAAGTCCCTTGTAAGCGCGTGGGTGAGGACCCACAGCCAGGCAACTCGTTTTATATCAGGGTTGCTCCGTAACAAGAGGACAATGATGTAAAATATACATAAATAAATAAATTATATTAAAAAAAGAAATGTTTTTCATGGAGTAAGAAGACAGATGTGATAACACAAGGTGATCCATGCTGTTTTGGCTTTTGTTTACCTTCCTAACCTTATATCCTGCTACTCCCTGACTCACACCTGAGTTGTAGTCATGCTGAACTGCTAGTGGCTGCCCTCAACAGGCTGTTCTCTCTTTCTGAAATATTGTCATTCTTTTCTCTGCCTGCTGAATCTGACTTACAGCTCTAGCTCAGTATTCTGATTTTGCAGGCAAAGTGTAAGTAAATGCTTTTCTACTCCACTCATTCAGGCCAGCTTTAGTTCTATTATTACTATTACTAATTGATTGTTTATGTCTCTGTTACTGAGTGTAGGATATGCCATTCAGCTTTGTTTCTCTTACTGAGCTGGCACATAGACAGAGCTTAAAGCGCATATTTGATAAACACACAAATAAAAGTGCAGTGAATGGGTGCTATGAGATCATATTATACATAATCTCCCTGTTGATTCTTCCACCTGCTCCTTCTGTATATTCCACTAAAAGGGAGCTCTCCAAACTCCAGAGCGAATCTGAGGCAGGCTATTCTGACGTGTTGGCACTGAGGGTAGTTATGAGTTGCCAAATATAAAAGGGAGAGGGAATTTTGGAGGATAATTCAGGTTTCCCTCATGATTCCCTGGAGGAGATTTCATCTTAGTAGTAGGCAGCTGAGACAAAGTAATCCTTTTTCTCTCATCCCTACCTTATATTAACAATATTTACTTAGTCAAGTAGGTAAAGCAGTTTTGTTTGGCACTTGGCTAGCAGGTAACATCCCAACACCTTTAGCCTTAGAGAGACAAGGCCTCATGTATTTCCTTGTGGTCTGCAAAAGCGCAAGGAATTTGAATCCAGTTTCAACATGGCCTATGTACTTGTGCAGCAAATTAAACCATCCTCTATCCAAGTGGTCTATGTATTTGGTTATTGAAGTTTTGTTATATGTCCACTTTAGATGTTTGCACAAAGTTGAAAAAAAGTACTGTTAGGTCAGGCAGACTGTGTGTGTGTGTGTGGTCAGCTTCCTTAACCCGTGCATTGTTCCAGGGCAAATGTATTGAATGAATCAGAAAGGCTGAGAAGACAAACATGGCATAAACACTGGAGTTGGTAAATTTATTTCTCATAGGTGTGTAGGCTAGTAATCCTAAAATTACTTTTGATTTATACTAGGGTTAAGAAAATTAGTGCCATATTGTGGATCGTGATAGCCAGATTTCTCAATGTCAAAGAAAGAAGAAAGAAATATTTTTGGAATTTTTATATGAGATTTATATAGATATAAATGTCAGATTTCGGGCCTCCCCTGGTGGCGCAGGCGGTTGAGCGCAGCGCTGCAAAGCTGTCCGCAGCCTCTGCAGCGCCTGTTTGATCCTGGCCGGCTGGCGAGGGTCCCACATGGTGTGGCAGACCTCTCCTGTCTCTCCCACTGTTCCCCTCAGCGGTGTATTTCAGTCAGTCCACCTGTTCTGTTCCCCACTCTGTCTCTGGTGAATCCTCTCACCCTCCCACACATCTGGCCTGTACCCCAGTTCTTATATAAACAAACAAACAAATAAATAAATCTTTAAAAAAAATAAAAGTCACATTTCATTATACACTTAAAGAAGATTTATTGTAAAGGATAATTATATTAAAATGAGAAATTATCTAATTTTAATTATATTAAAAAGAAAATGAATGCCTGCAAAAAGCTATCAAAATTTATACAAGCATATGTAGGTTTATGTATATACATGATGTATTTTTCTCTAAAAGCATCAATATTTACAGGAACACAGTTATCGTCATTCTGGCTCAAACTAATGAGATTTTGTTCTTCTTAGAAACAATTAAAAAGTTGTCTCTTTCTTTTATTGAGTGGTGTTGGTACATTTTATTGCCAACATGGATTTAAAATGAGGTGACTTCAGTCCTCCCTGATGTTTATATTATTATTATGTTTATCTTCTCCCACTATGATTTCATTTTTAAAAAGGTCCAAAATGGACAAATCAGATTTCTGCTGCTAGAAGTCAGAATAGTCATTTTTTGGGGGTTGATGGGTAATCTTTCTGGGGTGCAAATTGTGTTCCCTATCTCTATCTGGGAGGTGGTTACACAGGTGTGTTGACTTCATAAAATGGTATCAAGCCATGTATGCAGGTTATCTATTCACCTTATATATATGTTATATTTTAATCAAAACATTTACTTAATGAATTTCCCAATACATCCTTAGCTAAAACACTCAAAAGTGTCTTCATGTTCTCATAAGTAATTCTCTGTTATGCCAATTTTTAAGATATCCTGTCTAAATTTCTCCCATCCTGTCCGGAGCCGTCCGGAGCATGCGCCGTGTTGCGTATGCGTGCCATGAGTTAAGTTTCGCTTTACCGTTTCGCTTTCGGAGAACCACAGGTTTTTCCTGTAAATCACATGAGACTGGGAGGTACGTGGGGAGGAGCTACCAGGATACAAGAGGAGAATGCAGGAGCGAGAGGGAGAGAAGAAAAGAGATTTAAGAGGAGAACCACGAGAGAGGAGAGTGCTGCGAGAGGAGCAGAGAGAAGGCCGGGGAACTAAGAAAGACAGGGAAAAGAAAGACATGGAAAAGGAAGAGAAGGAAAAGGAAAAATAAAGAAGCATGCACTAGCGTCAAGTTGTCTCAAGCCCCTCATTTCATCCTCAGTCCTTCTCTTTTTGTGCCTACGAATCCCGCGGGTCGGGACACCATCCGACATTAGAAGCTCTATCTCTCACAAATGTATTCAAACTTTTTTTTTTTTTTTAAAGATTTATTTATTTATTTATACAAGCACTGGGTACAGTCAGAAGCGCAGGAAGGTGAGAGAATTCACCAGAGCCAGAGCGGGGAGCAGAGCAGGCAGACTGACGAAGTACACTGCTGAGGGGAGCAGTGGACGGCAGGAGAGGTCTGCGCGCCATGTGGGACCCTCGCCCTGCAGCTGGGATAGAATCAGCGCTGCAGAGGCTGTGGGCAGCTTTGCAACCCAGCGCTCAACCACTGCGCTACCGGGGAGGCCCTGTATTCAAACTTTTGTTTAGATTTGTGATACACTTTTCCCGAGAGATTGTTATCTTTTGTAATGACTAAGTTTATACACTGAGAGAAGTGATGCTTTCCTTGATTTTTCTCTAAATTTACCTTCTCAATTTGAATGGAGGTTTTTTTTCCTCCTAGAACTTAAAACTCAGTCTAGAAGGCAATTTTCTTTCTTAGTTAAAAAATGTTATTGGGCCTCCGTGGTGGTGCAAGCAGTTAAGACACAACCTATGTAGCTATCCACAGCCTCTGCAGCACGAGTTCCATCCCCAGCCGGCCAGGAAGCTACCCACGGAGCACAGCAGACCTCTTCTGTCTTGCCCACTGCTCCCCTCAGCAGTGTATTTCAGTCAGTTTGCCTGTTCCAGTCCCCTCTCTGTCTCTGGTGAATCCTCTCACCCCCTACACCTCTGGTCTGTACCCCAGTTCTTGTATGCATAAATAAACAAATCTTTAAAAAAATACAAAAATAAAATCAGTGTTCTCAGGGTTGCTTTCTTTAAAAAAAAAGTTATTTATATATAAACATTTTATCACAGTCTCACTTGGCCTTCATTTTGATAGCTTAAAAATGACATTCTCTTCCACTTTAAGTCACAAGGAATTGCTACTCTATTTTCTGCTTTTGTCACTTTTCATGAATCTACTCTGAATTTACTAAAAGTCTAACATCTGTTTCTGGAATAGTTATGCTATTCCAGATTCTGGCTGTATCAGTTCCATAAAAGAATAATGCAATAATGTACAAATTCTAGTAAAACACAAATTTTGTACTTTTAAACCAGTTAAGGTCTCCCCTGGCCTAGGCTGACTTTGGGTTTTAACAATGTTTAACTGTCCTTTGTTTAGAGAGATGTTCTTTGGTATAGAAGTAAAAACTATTCAACTAGGGGATTATCACTGTGTGGTTGGTTTGGCATGGAGGCTGCTGCTGAAAACACCTATAGTAGCATATAAATATGGAGCCTCATCTTTTGTTTTGATAAAAATGAGTTTCACTTGAGGCGCTTAGCATGGCTCATGACACATCCCTTCGGCCTACTCACCCAACTGAATGTCATTTTATAGGTGACATCCTAACTCACAAATCTATCTTGATGCATAAAATACACCTAAAATATTTACTAGTAGAGGCATGCAATTTTCTATTTTTAAAAATATGAGCTTTCAATTTTCTGTTGTCTTCTTAAATGTTACTCCTATGGCCTCTAAATGCTTCCGCCATTAGTCATTTTTAAAAACAAGTTTTCGTCACCTTTTTGTTTCCTTTTCTTTGTCATTTCGTTCAGCTGCCATTGACGAGCTCTGAGACCTTGGATGGGTTTAGCATTTCTGAGCCGCTGATCTCCCAGCAGTGAACTGAGGACAGAACATCCATGTTTTGGCTGCCTGGCTGGATTAAAGAAAAATACCCCACAGCGTGGTAGGTGTTCAGTGTATGATGATTCACTTCCCACTGCCTCAAGCATTGCAAACCAGAATTCAGCACAGTCATTAACAATGGGCCACAATCATTTTGTTTTCATAAAAATTTAATTTATGATTTCAATTCATCACTTTTTTTTTTTTAAAGATTTATTTATTTATACAAGCACTGGGTACAGTCAGAAGTGCGGGAGGGTGAGAGAATTCACCAGAGCCAGAGCAGGGAACAAAACAAGCAGAAGGACCGAAGTACACTGCTGAGGGGAGCAGTCGGCGGCAGGAGAGGTCTGCGTGCCATGTGGGACCCTTGCCTGGCGGCCGGGGATCGAACCGGCGCTGCAGAGGCTGCGGGCAGCTTCACAACCCAGTACTCAACCGCTGTGCCACTGGGGAGGCCCTCAATTCATCACCTTTTAAAGAAATTTGGAAGATATGAGGGAGCCCTAGGGTTCTGGAAGGAACTTTACCACACAGAAAGACAACCTCTGCTCTGCTGCTGCTGCCAAGGGCCATTTGGTGGGATGTGCTGACTTTGGAAACATATATTATACTGAAATGGGCAATAAACTCCCAAATGCCATTCTTTATAAAATTTTCTGAGTTAGATTAAGAGGTTGAATAAATATAAATGTCTACTTGAGATATACTTCAATCATTGAACCTGCAACTATGAAGCACTGAGAATTCTTGGGGGAAATGCCCATCTGCTCCCCTAACAAGCATCATTGGGGGGCTCACCCAGGACAGTGGTGTCTGCCTTTCGTTCCGGCAGCATGCATCTTTTGCGGCATAGTCAGAGCTCTGCTACACCTTCCCTGCTCTCCAGATCCAAATTAGGACAGATGTTCAGGTGGATCACTCACCTGCTTTCTTAAGATTGGGTCCACAAATTGTCAGCGTCCATTGCTGAAGAAGCCCATGCAAAGAACCCTTACACTGATTTGGCTGGAACTCTCTCATCTCTGCTGCCATCAGTGTGCTTCTCTCTTTGCTCTTTTCTTCTAGAAATGGGAAGGAAGAAACATGCAAACACATGCCAAAACCCTGCAACTACAAACCAGGGTGGCTGCTGAAATACCTAAGTCAGTGAATCCTGCTGTGACTCTCCCTGGTAATGATTTTAAGATTGGAGGGAACTTTACTGATCCTTTACCCCCATCCTCAAGTTATTTTCATCAGTGCATTTCTATTCCAAATGCTAAAATTTTCCTACTTTAGAAATGTTCACTTTATAATTTCATTAGAGATTCAGGGTTGCATTTATATTTAAAATTATTTACTTAAAGATTCCTTTTTAGATAGTACTAAGCAATCTCTATAGCTGAAAGGGAAGTTCTGGAGGTGAACCTGTGGCACTACAGGTGAGCTAAGGAAGAAAGGCCAGGAACCCACAGAGCCAGGGTGTTTGGGAAGAGACCTGCAGGTGTCCTTCTGCATTTCCTCCCTCACTCTTTCCTGGCTCCGTCCATTTGAAACAGGGGTGGACAGGGCAGGAGGGCAGGAGGCCAGATGGAAGGAAGGAATGGCCACCCACCTGCCCGGGCAATACAATATGCACACAATAGGGGTCTTTGGGCTATAGCTAAACAAAGGACAGTGTCTGATAGAGGACAGGTCGTCTGTGGGTTCTCACCTGCACACACAATTGCAAGAAATCTCAGGCTCCAGGAACAACCACCATGGGGTTTATTTTACAAACAGGAGAAACAAAGAGCTTATTGTAGCCACAAGTAGCTGGCTATCTCACCCAGATAGCATCAGTGATGGTCGCCAATGGTCACCAGGAGTGCTGGACAGCACTGGCCAGTAGTGATGGTCACTACTGGTCCATCAGAGGTGGTGTCAGAGACATCAAGTGTTAACAGCTCTTTGTGAGTTGCTGGACCATACCAACAACAAACAGCTCTTTGAGACACCAGGCCCATGGCCTTTGGTGCTCCTTTCAGGCAATGTTAGAGATAGAACCGAGGCTACTTTACTTCTTTCTTTGGAGGCCAGGAGTGGAGTCTTCCCTTTCTTTCTTCTTCTTTTGGAGGCTGGAACTGTCGTCTTTCCTTCTTCAGAGGCTGGAACCGTCTGTCCTGTTCAGGGGCTGAAGTCATCTCTTCTGTTCCACAGCTGGTATCATCTCTCCTCTCAGCTTCCTCCAATTCTGGCTTCTATCCTCTTTCAGGGTGCTCCACCCGTAAGTCTGATTGGACCACTTTTCAATCCTGTGGTTAATTGGACAATTTAGCACCAATCAGCTCATAGCTTGCACCTGATTGGTCCATTCCACAATCCAGGAAGTAGGCTGTTACATAAAAGGGCTCTGAGGTGCAACTGCCACAACAGCCTTATGGTGGAGCAGCAGAGTGAAAAGAATACCATTGCTGCTTCTGGATCCCACCACTGAGGCGGCTGGATTCTGGTAACACATTCCAGTTCTGGGAGGTAGTGCTCTTCTTTTCATTTTCAGAAAGAATATTCAGTTGACTAACTCAGAAGGCTTTTTGGAAATCAGCATGTCATCCACTTCATGTATTCACAGCTTGTGAAACCAGCACAGTTTACACTGATTTCCAAGCACCTGCACATTTGTGTCTCCTCTATCAGGAAACAAAGTCATCTTAAGAATTAGGGGTACTAAAAGCTTTATTACAAGAATGACATTTTACCTGCTATAGAAGGAGCTGAGAAAATGAAGGTTAGGAGGAAGAACTGAGGGACCTGAGTGCTTGCAGCAGGGGATCAAAATCTAGCCTGCAAGAATGAACAATGCTAGTGGACTAGAGTAAGTCAGTATTGAGGCTACTGCAGTATTGAGGCACTGCAGTGGGTGGGCAAGTCGAAGCCTGCGGGGGAAATCCCATAACCTGAGCCTAGATGTGAAGGTAATATGAGAGGTAGCCTGACGGGAGAAACCTGCTGGTGTGGTGCTATCTCTGTGGGGCTGCAGCCCAATGCCTGATGGTGGGCTGGGGACTGCAGCAGCCCCCACAGTTGGGAGGAGCCTGGGTAGTGGAGAAAAATGAGGCAAGCTGGGCCCTGCTGGGGACCTCTGTGCCTGCCAGTCCTTGTGACTAATCAGGGTGACCTCAGAACAAAGCTCTGGTCACATCCGCCTTTCTCTTTTGGCCACTTTTTTTTAAGATTTATTTATTCATGCATACAAGAACCGGGGTACAGGCCAGATGCGCGGGAGGGTGAGAGGATTCACCAGAGACAGAGTGGGGAACAGAACAGGCATCCTGACAGAAATACACTGCTGAGGGGAGCAGCGGGCGAGACAGGAGAGGCCTGCCGCGCCATGTGGGATTCTCACTGGCCGGCCGGAATTGAACCCGCGTTGTAGAGGCTGCGGACAGCTTCACAGCACTGCTCTCAACCGCCTGCACCACGAGGGGAGGCCCTCTTTTGGCCACTTCTAATCTGAAAGTGTGGATCCTAGCCTTAGCTAATTTTACAAAGGTTATGTCATGCTCATGATGTAGCTTGAGAATGTTTTTGCCACATAAATAGTACTTAATATTTAACAATTAAGACAGGCCTGCCACAGACCTATTAAGTTAGAAAATGTGTTTTACCAAGATCCTGAGGTCAGTGGGAAGTTCATTCAGATACTGCAAATGAGAAGCAAAACAAAATTTGCTCCTGAATATTTCACAAATCTCCTTGAATATGCTTGAAGATCTCTAATAAGTTAAACATTTATGTGGTACTGGTGTTCTGTTGATGGGTGGGACTAAGGGAAATTCAGAAAAACAAGGTCCAAAGAATCTGTCCATGTATTTTCAGTACTGTCCATGGGAGGGCGCCCAGGCTGACTGCTTCACTGCACTCTCCATTGGTGTAGGCTACGTTTTGATTCTCCAGCTCTTGTCTTGTTGGACTCGACCTTCCTTGTTCTCATTTTTGCTTCTCGACCAGTGTTTCTCAACCTTGGCTGCTCATTGGAATTCTTTGGGGTAGTTTTAAAAATCCAAATGCCAAGCTGCACCCTCGTGTAACCCAGACATGGATGTTTTTTTAAAGATCTCCACGTGTCTCCCAAGGTTATGTTTCAGATCCTCATTTTTATAACTGTTGTCCGTGGACCAGGGCACAGGTTCCAGCTGGGTCCTGCCACAGACCTATTAAATTAGAAAACATGTTTTACCAAGACCCTGAGTGGGAAGTTCACCAAAGTTTGAGAAGTGCTGTCCCCACCATTACACCTCTCTTCTTGCTAAAAGGCCCCAACTTCTTTATATGCTTTGAAAGTATAAAATCTTATATTTTCTACCACTCTGGTCGATTCACCCACCTTCATCCTAGAAAGTCCCCACCTATGAAGATTCTATCACCTAGCTTATTTTCTCTTTACATTTGGTCCATCAGTATCCTGGTGCCTCAGCATCTTGGCCTCCTCTTCTTACCCAATCTTAACCTCTTAAAGACTATGAATATGATCACATGAATATGACATGTCCTCAGATGGCTTTTTACCTCCTTCCCTACTCATGCCCTTGTCCCATCAATAATAGTAATTCAGTCTATTGCCTCAAGCAACCACTCTTCCAGATGAACAAAGTTTTGTGATGAACAGTCACCTTTTAAGTTGATGACCATACACCTCAAATTTCTCTATTACCATTCATTTTAAAGGTCTGTGAGACAACTTTCCTGCATCTCTCTCTCTTACCAAGTCACCTGTTCAACCTCTATTTTCTTACTCAATTGATGGGTTAACGTATTTAACAGCATGTAAAAGCTGTCAGAGAGAACATCATCATATTTGGACAGTGGTTCCATGGAAGGCCAACTTCTGTCTTTGTATTTGAGCCTAATTGCTTTCCAAGGGTACTGCTCCTATAGATGTCTTCTTGAGTCATTCTGAACTGCATGCATTTATGCTCCTGTTCTAGAGTCTGAATCCTTCTATGAGAGGATTCGGCTTTCAAGCTTCATCCTCTCTTTTCCTCTCTGCTCCACATCTAAGCAAGCCCATGAGCCAGAGTGCCTTTGCCTCTGGTTCCAGCAGGAGATTCAGCCTGAGCAGGGTACCCTCAGTCCAGCCCACCCCCTAACCATGACAAACACCCCCCAACAAACCAGTCTCCTTTCCTAGTTTGATCAAGCCACTATGCTATCTCATACCTGCTGGAGAAGCTTGGCCTGCTTTCTCCAGAGACCTCAATTATGTACCAAGTATACTTTTCGTACCCTCCGGGTATGTGTGTAGCAATCAGCAGTCTCCACAGATGAATCAAATGTTGAGTGGAAGTCCATCTGCTGCTAAAGATTGGTTAAAACACTTTAACACCTTCTACCTTAAAAAAATGTGCTTGCTAGAATTTCAGTTAGACTGTTTCAACAGGGCCTCAAAATAACATGGCTTACACATGACAGATGTTTATTTCATGCTCACATAAATATCCAAGCTTATGACCCTGCTCTTCAGCTCCACCACCACCTTGGATTAAGCCACATCTGCCCTGCACACTGTTATGCCTCTAGTCTGCCTTCCAGCCAGCATGGAGAGGGAAGTGGTAGAAAGGGCACAGGCCTCCTGTGCATACAGCTCAAGACTTAGTCACATAACTGTTTTTAGCAGCAAAAGAGGTGGGTGACATTGGTGTTATGATGAAGGCCAGGTACCTGTAAAACAAACTACTAAATAAGAAAGGGAGGATTCAACATTAGAACTGGTAGTCTTTGTTCCTCAAACCTTCTCTTAACTTTACATTCCTGTGGTAAGAAGTCCCCAAATCTATGAATATGTTAAGTTACATGGGAAGGGCAGTTAAGGTTGCTGATAAAATTAAATTTGCTTATCAACTGACTTTCAGATATAGATCTAGGATAATGCAGGAAGACCCAATGTAACAGTAAGTCACCTTAAAAGTGAATCACCTTAAAAGTAAGTCACCTTAAAAGTAAGTCACCTTAAAAATAAGTCACCTTAAAAGTGGCAGATGGGGGCAGAAGAGGAGGTCAAGGGGATGCAACATTAAGACTTGACCCACCCTTGCTGGTTTGAAGATGGAGGAAGTGTAACAGGGTGGTCCCAGGAAAGGGGGAGGTTCCCTGCCCCACCCAAGGGAGGGTGGAGCTGAGCAGGAAGAGGAGAAGCTGGAGAAGAGACTGAGGAAGGAAGCAGGATGGAGCCAGGAGACCTGGAGGAGGCGCATGGAGCCTAGAGACATGTAAAGAAACTGCGCTTGTCTTTTGGTCATGGGTGACACAGATGTGGGTGAGACCTGTGGGGAGGTGACAATGGCAGCTTTTATCTTGATGTTGATTTTGCTCTTTTCCTTCCGGGCTTGTCCGGTTGTTTGTGACCCTTTTCTGTGGGTCCCCACTGGAAGATGCTTTAGACTTGTAGCAGGCTTTGGGGCCTTGTTCTGGGCCAATCCCATTTGGATGGACTTTTACCCATGAGGGGATGGGTAACTCTGGATGCTTCATTTAGAAACTAGACTCTTTGCCTTACCTGTATTGTTTCCTAGTTTTATTAAAGTTCCTTCCCATTAAAGTCTTATATGTTTTGTGTTGATGCGGCGGATGGCAGAACCCATTTAGAATAGGCAGGTTTGCGGGGTTTGGGCTGACCCCCTCTTCCTGTCCTATAACAGAAGGAGGCCATGAGCCAAGGAATGCAGGTGGTCTATAGAAGCCCAAAAGACAAGGAAATGGATGCTCTCCTGGAGCTTTGAGAAGGAAACAGCTCTTCTGATACCTAGATTTTAGTTGAGTGACATCAGTGTCAGACTTCTCAGCTCCAGAATTATAAGATAAAGAAAATTGTGTTAAACCATTAACTTTGTGGTAATTAGTTTTTCTTTTGTTGGTATCCCTAACTCATAGAGCAGTACCTAAAATATAGAAATGGCTTGATATATTGAATAAATGAATATTTTTGCCTTGATCCATTATTTTGATTTGACACTATTTGCCAGATTTTAACTCTTGGGGGCACAGAAATGAATGACAATCTCTGCCATACAGAAAATACGAGGGTTATTATTTGTACAGAGGAGGTAGGAGAGTGGACTACAAGGAAGAATTGGAGACAGTTCATCCTAAGCAGAATTTAGAAGCAGTTTTAAAAGTTTATCAGGTAGGTGTAAGCAGAGTGAGAAGGAAGGGCCTCAAGTGATAGTGTGTGTCCTGGCAGAGAGGCCATGAACTAGCAGGTTGTATTTGGGAGAACTATGGAGTAAATGGTGGTAGGAAAGGTAGTAGTGAATATGATGCAAGGTAAGCAGGGGACCTCAGAAAACGAAACATTTACATACCATATACCATGTGTAGGGTGCAAATTTTCTCTAGTAGCTGAAGCAGAAGCTGTGAAAGCTTTTAAAATGGTATAGATATAAAAGATTTTCATTCTGGCCTTTTCACTCACACTTTAGAAGGGGCATTCTAGCAATCCTATTGGTACCAGAAGTGAAAAATTCAGCTTGAAATAGGTTAGATGAGAGGCGATGAGGGTGACTTAGAAATAGTTGAGGGAGAATGAATGAATGGCTGTGACTATCATAATCCTATGAAAAATTTAACATAATACATCTTTTGGTTTGGCTTCTGTACTTTAAAAAGTAACTTCTAATATATAAATGTGGTTTTCCCAGTAGAATTTTTATTGAGAAAAGGTTACACTGATCAGGCAATTCAAGTAACCCAATAAGGGTTGCAGTTTATTTTTCCTACTTACCATTCAGTTCCTTGTGAACTTTGCTAGTGTGGTTAGTTCTTTAGAGACCACTTGCACCTGGATAAAGTGATCAAGCAAAACTACATGTAGACCACTTACATGAGATATTATTAACTATAAACTGTTTACACCACTGTGAAAAAATTTAGAAGAATTTATTAGGAATTTCAGCAAAACGAAACTTCACAACTATAGCTAATACATAATTTGAATAAAAAATCCTTTTTTTTGTTTAAATATAATGATTTATTTCCAATAACATGCTCATTAAAAACAATGAAATAATTCCATTCATTAAAAATGCATTTATCAATAAAAATACATAATAAAGTATAATTTGTAGCATAAATGTAAACCAGTCAATTTATATGTTATCCATATTATGATTAACTTTCTTGTATGGTTATAGTGTTTTAAATCATTAACAAAATGCGGAATTATATAATATATTTACAGATAATTCTTAAAAATAATGATTCAATAGTTACTGTTATACTTCATCAGTATTTTCTCTGCAGTCTGTATCCAACATCAGGAGATAGACTGGTCCTTTGTTGGCTGCTCTGGAACATAATTTCAGGATATTCTTTTATAGTATACTCATAGACTTTAATCTTATAGATTTTAATTTAGATATAAATTAAATATTAGATATTTTACTATAAAATGTTAGATTTTTACTATAAAATATTAGATATTTTACTAAGACTAAACTCAAAATTCCAGTTCTCAAATGCAACAGATACATCAATTTCAACATAACCAAGAATTAGTTTATGTAAGGGCATCATGCTAATTATAATTCACAGCCCTTACTCTTTGCTATTGGTAAATGTGCTTAAGAAGTGCGTTTTATCAGAACCTGCTATGTAAATAATCAAAACTTAATAATTTTATTTCCTACAGGAAGCACATGGAACTCAAATATCGAATAGGTAGTTTAACCATATATATTGGGCAAAAAACCTCAGTTGTTTGGGAAGATTATTGTTAAAAATTCATTACTTTTATTTTAGAAAGCAAATAACATGCCATAAAACAAAAATTCTGCTCTAAGACATAGTTTTTACATTGAAAAATTGTAACTAAGCAGGGCCTCCCTGGTGGTTCAAGGGGTTAAGTTTCAGCACGATCAAGCTATCGCCAGTTACTGCAGCATGAGTTCCATCCCTGGCCAGGGAGCTACCCACATGGCGCAGCAGACCTCTCCTGTCTCACCTGCTGCTCCCCTCAGCAGTGTATTTCAGTGGATCTGCTCCCCACTCTGTCTCTGGTGAATCTTCTCAAACCTCCCTGCTCCCTGCACCTCTGGCCTACACCCCAGTTCTTGTATGCATAAATAAATAAAATAAATCTTAAAAAAAATTGTAACTAAGCAATGGCAGGTATCTGGAGGGTGTCCTATAGTAACCCTGCCACACTCTTGTGTGCTTTTGTCTCCTGTCACATGAAAGCTACTTGAAGACAGGAAAGCATTTTCCTTCTTCTACTCCCAGCCCTAGCAGAATGCCTTCTACCTGGTAAGTACTAAGGCAAGGTCTGTTCAATGAACAAAAAAAGACCAAAAGGATAACTTCTACAAAAAACAGCAACAAAATTCATGCGTGAGGTGGGAGGTAGATGAATGTATAAAGTTCACATAGGTCATAAGTTTTCTAGGGAGAGAGATAACTTCTGGAAATTAAGACTCAATTTTCAAATCTTAAATGAATGTCCTTTCACTTTTTGGTTTTGAAGTAAAATGGATTTATTATGTAATTAATGGTGTAAGGCTGAAAAAACCTACTTCTTGAATCAGCTATATAATACATATAAATTATAAAGTTAGACATATGACTTTATACATTCAAAACAAGATTCTTTTAAGTTCATGTGAGTATGAAAACAGTGGCACTCAAATAGTAAACAAAATAAAACAATAATAGAAACTTAGGTGCAACATCTATGAAACAACAAATACTCCCATATGTGCCCATATGTGGAGTGATGGAAACCTTTAAGAAAACTCCCTACTAATTTGAATGAGGCTAGCAATTGTCCTAGTGCATATACAATACAGTTTTGGAGGTTACTTGTGTCATATATATAATGTATAGGCATATGATTATATATTGTCTTTCTAAAATTTACATACCAAATCATTTTATTTATTTGAAATGCAGGAGATGCAAGAACATATTATGAAAGCTTTTAAAAGACAAAAATATATCTAAAGCCCAACTATTTTATTCCCAGCAGAGCACTAAGCTGCTATTTATTCTTGTTTTGAAAGAACTCCAGAAGTTTGGACTTCTATTTTCTGGACTCAAAATAGATTATAAGCAGCTAAACAGACTGGAAGGCAAGATATAGTTTGAAGTAAGCCCAAGTGATAAAAAGAGAACAGGGGATAAAGACATAATCTGAAACTTTGCATCTATCATAAATGCTAACCTGAATGTAATAATGAAAAAACAATAGGAAAATCCAGATCACAGGACATTTATCAAAACAACAAGACAACTGGCCTGGACTCTTCAAGAGTGTCAATGTGTACAAAAGACGGAAAAAGAACAAAAAGACTTTTACCAGGGCCTCCCTGGTGGTGCAAGGGGTTAAGCACCACAGTATGGGGCAGTCTGCAGCCTCCGCAGCACACGTTTGAACCCTGGGCAGCCAGGGGGAAATCCACATGGCGAGGCAGACCTCTCCTGTGTGGCTCGCTGCTCCCCTCAGCAGTGTATTTTGGTCAGTCTGCCTGTTCTGTTCCCTGCTCTGTCTCTGGTGGATCCTCTCACCCCACCCCCCGCCCCCACATCTCTGGCCTGTGCCCCAGCTCTTGTATGCATGTATAGACAGATATTTAAAAAAAAAGTTTTTCCAGATTTACACAGCAACCAAATGCAATGTAAATTCCTGAGTTCGATCCTGTATCAAGGAAATAAAATAGACACAGAGGATATTTTTCTCCCAGACAACTGGGAGAGTCTATAACAGATGTTCTATTAATATGAGACTGCTTGGAACTAACCCCACAGCCAGAGGTAAGCTGAAGGCCCCCACAAGCCAGGCCCCACCTGACAGGGAGTTGGAGCCCAGAGGGGGATCCAGCAATTTGAAGCCCAGAGAGCAATCCATTCACTCCACCTCCAGGGCAGTCTGTGGGACCTCAAGACACACCTTGGGAATCAAACAAACACAGCAGGAGGAGATATTCTGTGACAGCGACCATTAACATATTCATAGTATCACTGCCCTACTGGACTTCTGGCATAACAGTATTTGACTCGATTGGACCACCAGTTTCCAACATCCCAGAAAGAGTACACCAAAGAGATGCTAGCCAGTACCAGCGACACAGTGTCCCAATGCATAGGACAAATTAGAAAACAAGCAGCAGGGAGAAGAAAAACTACAAGCAACCAAGCAAGTCCTCAGGGAAAAGACATACCACAAAAAGAAAATCACCCATCAGATTGCAACATCAGTGACTTGGAAGAACTCCTGAACCTTCCAGAAAGAGAGTTTAAAATTGCCATGATTAAAAAACTGACAGAAGTCATAAAGGAAAACAACGATAAGGGAAAAATAATCAACAATCAGAAGATGAAATTGAGTCCCTAAAGAGGGAAGTGAAAGAAATGCAGGAGATCAAAGGATTAATGGAGGAGCTAAAGGACTCTGGGAAAAGCAGTGATAGCAGAATAGATGAAATGGAAGAATGAATAAGTACTCTCAAAGACACAGAAATAAAAAGAACCAAAACAGAAAAGGAAAGAGAAGTACGAAGGAAAAAGACTGAAGAAAGACTTCGGGAACTATCTGACTCCATAGGAAAGGAAATATAAGAGTTATAGGAATCCCAGAAGGAGAGGAGAGAGACAGGAACAGAGAAAATATTCAAGGAAATAATTGAAGAGAACTTCCCAAACATGAAGAAGGAGCTGAAAATAGACATACAAGAAGCAAAAAGAACACCAAACTTCCATGATGAAAGGAAAAATACAGCAAGACACATAATAGTAAAGCTAGCAAGAATCCAAGACAAGGAAAAAATAATGAAGCTGACAAGAGGGAAGAAAGAGATAACATACAAAGGAAAACCAATCAGACTGACATCAGACTTCTCTGAAGAAACACTACGGGCAAGGAGAGAGTGGAGGGACACAGTCAACATGTAAGGGGGAGAGGATGTCCTGAGCTAATTCCATGCAGGCTTTTTGGACTCCACCCCGTCTCCAGACCAAAGCCATCAAGACATTGGGAAAGACAAATCCCGTCACCACCAAAGGGAAGGTGGCTGGGACCTGAGGGTGGAGTTAAGCAGCCAGGTTTGGTATAAAAACCAAACACGTGGGCCTTGGGGGGCTCGCTCTCCCGCTCGCCTCCTAGCTTCATGGCTCCCGGCTTGCGGCCAGCTCTCAGAGTGCCATTTGGGATTCCAAATCAGTGGATAGGGTAGGATGCATTTAAAACTTTGTCTCCCACTTTTCTCCCTGAGTTGTACATTTCCTCATTTGCCCTTCCCTTGTAAATAAACCTTTTATTAACCTTTCGTGTGTGCCTGAGGTAGAGTATTGATAAGTCCTTTTAAGCACACGGGTGAGGACCACAGTCAGGCAACCCGTTTTGTATTGGGGCTGCCCTATAACAAACAGACTCCATGACAACAAATACCAACCAAGAATACTCTATCCTGCAAAGCTGTCCTTCCTCTATGAAGAAAGAATAAGGACCTTCCCAGACAAACAGAAACTCCGAAATTTCATCAAGATTAAACCCCTACTCCAAAAAATACTATATGGAATCCTAAAGCCAGAACCAACAGAGGGATGAATAAGAGTGAAACAAGACCACAAAAAAATTATTAAAAAAATAAATAAAACCAGAGAAAAGACAAACAAAATGGCATATACAGACACTAACATATCAATATTAACTCAGTGTAAATGGACTAAACTCTTCAATAAAAAGACACAGAGTCGCAGGCTGGATTAAGAAACAAAACCCAACCTTTTGCTCTCTCCAGGAGACTCACTTAACTACAAAAGATAAAAATAGACTGAAAGTAAAAGGATGGAAAACAATCTTACAAGCAAATGGACCAAAAAAGAAGGCAGGAACAGCTATATTTATATCAGATAAAAAAGATTTCAAACTCAAAAAGGTAAAAAGAGACCCAGACAGTCAATACATTATAATCAAGGGGACAATACTTCAAGAATAAATAACACTCATTAACATATACTCACCAAATGAAGGAGCACCAAAATATATCAGACAGCTATTATCATCTCTGAAAACAAACATCAGAGAAAACACATATGTAGTAGGAGACTTCAACACACCACTATCAACAATGGATAGATCAACAAGACAAAAAATAAGTAAGGACATTAAAGCTCTAAATAAGGATCTAGACCTCATGGGCTTAACAGACATCTATAGAACACTAAAGCCAAAAAATCTGAGTAGACATTTTTCTCAAGCGCACATGGATCATTCTCCAGTATCGATCACATACTGGGACAGAAGACAAACAACAACAGATACACCAAGATTGAAATCATACCAACTATCTTCGCTGACCATGAAGGCATCAAACTAGAAATAAACCATAAAAAGAAGGCAAGGAACGCTCCTACCTCATGGAGATTGAAACCCACACTACTGGCAGACCACTGGACTAATGAGGAGATCAAAGAAGAAATTAAAAAAATACTTTGAGTTGAATGACAAGGAGGACACCAATTTCCTAAATGTATGGGATGCAGCAAAAGCAGTATATAGCAATACAGGTTCACAGCAACTAACAAGAAAGAACTTAAAGAAACAACCTAATCTCACAGCTCAAAGTACTAGAAAAAGAACAACAAAACTCTAAATCCAGTAGAAGAAAAGAAAGAGTAAAAATCCAAGCAGAAATAAATGAAATCGAAAATAAAAAAAAAAAATCCAAAAGATCAATGAAACCAAAAGTTGGTTCTTCGAAAAAATAAATAGACAAACCTCTAGCCAGGCTCACAAAGGAAAAATAGGAGAAAGCACAAATAAATAGGATCACAAATGAAAGAGGAGAAATCACAACAGACACAGCAGAAATAAAAAGAATAATCAGAAACTACTATGAACAATTATATGCAAACAAGTACAACAATCTAGAAGAGATGGACAAATTCCTACAACTCTACAATCACCCAAAGCTAGATAAAGAAGAAATAGAACACCTAAACAGACCAGTTACAAGCAGCGAAAATGAAATGGTAATCAAAAACCTCCCCATAAACAAAATCCCAGGACCTGATGGATTTATAAATGAATTCTACCAAGCATTCAGAAACAAATTAGTGCCTATCCTTCACAAACTCTTTCAAAAATTGTGAAGGAAGGGATAATACCAAACACGTTCTATGAAGCCAACATTACACCAATACCAAAACCGAACAAGGACAACACAAAAAAGGAAAACGACAGGCCAATCTCTCTAATGAACACAGATGCAAAAATCCTCAATAAAATTTTAGCTATCAGAATCCAACAATGTATCCATAAGATAATTCACCACGACCAAGTAGGATTTATTCCAGGAACACAAGGATGGTTCAACATCCGAAAATCAATCAATGTGATCCGACACACCAACAAAAAGAAATATAAAAACCATATAATATCAATAGATGCTGAGAAAGCCTTTGACAAAGTACAACACCCATTTATGATAAAGCCCTTTGAAATTCTCGGGATACAAGGAACATACCTCAACATCATAAAGGCCACATATGACAAGCCCATAGCCAGTATCATTCTCAATGGTGAAAAGCTGAAAGCATTTCCATTAAGACCTGGAACAAGACAAGGATGTCCACTCTCACCACTTCTTTTCAATATAATACTGGAAGTCCTAGCCAGAGCAATAACACAAGAGAAAGACATACAAGAAGTCCAAATAGGCAAGGAAGAAATCAAACTATCACTATTTGCAGATGATATGATAATATACATAGGGAACCCCAAAAACTCTGCAGAAAAACTAACCTAATCAATCAGTTTAGTAAAGTGGCAGGATACAAAATCAACACACAAAAATCAGTAGCCTTCTATACACAAACAATAAATCTGAAGACAAAATCAAGAAAACCATCCCTTTTATTATTGAAACAAAAAGAATCAAATACTTGGGAATAAACCTAACAAGAGAGGTAAAGGACCTATACAAAGAAAACTATAAAACTCTGTTAAAAGAAATAGAAGACACAAGACACAAAGAAATGGAAAGACATCCCCTGCTCATGGATTGGAAGAATTAACATGATCAAAATGGCCATCCTACCAAAAGCAATTTACAGATTCAATGCTATTCCAATAAAAATTTCAATGACATTCTTCAAAGAAATTCAATAAATATTGATGAAATTCATTTGGAGCCACCAAAAAACCCCAAATAGCCAAAACTCTCCTGAAAGAAAAGAAGGGAATGGAGGCATCACACTCCCAGATTTCAAACTGTACTACAAGCCATAATAATCAAACCTGAATGGTATTGGAACAAGAACAGACACATGGACCAATGGAACTGAATACAAAATCCAGAAATAAACCCATAGATTTATAGTCAACTAATCTTTGACAAAGGAGCAAAGAATATGCAATGGAGCAAAGAAAGTTTGTTCAATAAATGGTGCTGGGAAACTGGGTTGCCACATGCAAAAAAAATGAAGCTTGACTACTACCTCACACCATGCACAAAAACCAACTCAAAACGGATTAAAGAAAGAGACATAAGACCTGAAACCATAAAATATATAGAAGGAAATACAGGCGAAACACTACATGACATGCACCTCAAAAATGTCTTTACAGATACATCACCCAAAGCAGTGATAGTGTAGCTGGGACTACATCAAGTTAAAGAGCATTTGCACAGCAAAACAATAACCAAAACAAAGAGAAATCCCACCTACTGGGAGAAAATTTTTGCATACAACACTGATAAAGGACTGATTGCAAAAATCTACAAATAGCTGATGAGACTCAACAAAAACAAAGAAAATAATCCAGTCAAAAAATGGACAGAAGAGTTAAAAAGAAACTTCTCCGAAGAGGAAATGCAAATGGCCAACAGGCATATGAAAAAATGTTCAACATCACCAAATCAGGGAAATGCAAATCAAAATCACAATGAGATACCATCTTACACCAGTGAGAATGGCACATATTAAAAAAAAAAAAAAAACTAGCAACAACAAATGTTGGGGTGGTTGTGGAGAAAAAGGAACTCTCCTGCACTGCTGGTGGGAGTGCAAACTGGTGCAACCACTATGGAAAGCTGTATGGAGATACTCAACCTACTAAAGATAGAGCTTCCATGTGATCCAGCAATTCCACTCCTAGGTATTTACCCAAAGGACACAGAAACATTAATTCAAAAGGGCATCTGCACCCTTATGCTTATAGCAGCACTATTTACAATAGCTAAGCTATGGAAACAACTCAAATGCCCCAAAATAGATGACTGGATCAAGAAGATGTGGTATATATACACAATGGAGTATTACTCAGCAATCAAAAAGGATAAACTCATGTAATATCCAGCAGCATGGATGGAGCTAAAAGGGATCATGCTCAGCGAAATAAGCCAGAAAGAGAAAGAAAAATACTGGATGGTCTAACTCATAGCAGGAATTTAGAAACCTAAATAAGGGACCAGGAAAAAGACTAATCATAATAAAGAAAAAATCAAAATCAACAAGCAACTATAAACCAGAGACACACTACGTTGGAAATGGGAGGAAAGGAATGATTATGGTCAAAATAAGGGGGGCAGAACGGTATGGGGAATATAACCAAAATGAAAATGCATACATTGTGCAAAAATGAAAAATGATGTAAGAATTATATAAAATATATTAATAAAAATATTAAATTTCATGGGTGTAACAATGGTATGTGCTTAAGTAGGAGATTGTTCTTAGCTGAGTATGTATGCTAAAGTGTTTAGGAGGGAAGTATTATCATGTCTGTAGTTAACTTTCAAACAATTCAAAAATGTGTGTGTGTGCACATGTGTCTTTATTCCTTCGCTTTACTTAACCTTCCATCCCTCCTTCCCTCCATCCTTCCATCCATTCCTTCCTATTCCTTCATTCCATCTGTCCACCCATCTATCCATTCATCCACTCACCCACCTATTCACCCATCCATCTATTTGATAAAGCAGCATGTGACCAATTGATAAATCCAAATGAAGAGTAAAATAACACAGAATAAAAATAACCCACAAAATGGCAAACAAATCCCCAAATCTCCATGCAAGATATGGCACTTCTGTTGGGGTAAGTCTGATGACAATTGTTTAAACAGGACTTATTAATCATGTGATTTTATGCCATTTTCTCTGAAAATAAATGCAAGGTTTCTGACAAAATTAGTGATGCTAAAATAGGGGGGAGTAGTATGTTTGGAGGTAAAGAGACAGAAAAGATTAATGATTGCCAACACTCACAAAGAATGAAAAATAATGTAAGATAATATTTCAAACCTACCCCTAATCCACATCATTAACTTTTTAGCTATTAGTCAGATACTCTAGCAATATAAAGACAGAGGATACCAATATGCCAGACAGAGTAATTTGCTGATTAGATAACTTTTTTCCCCTGCAGGGTAGTATTTACTATTCATGCCCGGTTAGTTGTCTGAGGTTACATACTGTTTTCAAGTAGAGCTGAAATATATGCAAGAGGGATCTCAGTTGGGTATTATCTCACTGAAGTGAAATAAGAATCATAATTGCTGTAACCAACAAATCATTATATTCAAAATTCAGACATAGAGAAATTACCACCGTAAAAATTACTCAAATAGCTGAACTGGCAGACATGAAAAATTGAAGGATAAAACCAAACAAGCATGTAAAAAAGAGTTTCCATGAAAAAAAAAAAACAGCAGGAGCCACACTGTTGCCAAAAAAGCTGGATCTGAAAATCACAGTATAACAATGCCACATCAGAACACTGACTTCAAGAACCATGTTCCCAGAGGTAAATAATAAGCTTCGAGAGGTAAGGACAGCTGCTTTCTAAGTATTATTCACTACTGTACAGAGTGTAGCAAAGAGCTGAAACATGGGTAAGAAATGTTTTATATCATTTACGTAAAAGTAAATCATAATTAAGACACTTGCAGGGTCTTCCCTTTCTCTAGTCAGGATTTCAGAACTGAGGACATGTGATGAAAACACACGAGCAAGCACCTAGTGAATTCTCTAATAGGATTTTCTTTGTTGAACACCTCAGCTAAGGATTGTGAGAGGCTGGGAAGTAGCTTAGTTTGAGGAAGTTTCCATCTCATAGACCTAATTTCTGTGATTTCCTTATCTGACCTTGGATTAGTTACTTAGGCTGAAGGTTTCTGAACATAATGACTGTTTCTTTATATCTATATGTCTGTCTGTCTGTCTCTGTCTACTTACCTAGCTAACTTCCTCCTCTCTCCCTTTCTCTCTCTTCCTCTCCCCTAGAATTCAGTGCCCAAATGAAAACCTAAGTAAGGGACCAGGAAAAAGGCTAATTATAATTATATAAAGTAAAAATCAAAATCAACAAGCAACTATAAACCAGAGACACACTACGGTGGGGTGGTAGTGGGGTGGGGGGAGAAGGGAGTAGGATCAAAACAAGGGAGGTGGGAATTGTATGGGGACTATAACTAAGATGAAAATGCATACATTGTGCAAAAATGAAAAATGATGTAAAAAATATATAAAATAAAAGAAAAAAAGAAAAAAATTCAAGGTAGTACTGTCTAGTTTTGAACTCTAAAGACAGGGAGGGATATGAGCAAGGATGGAATCATTGCCCATGTGAGTTTCCTACCATTTTCAAATTAAGGCACATATCTAAGACTCTTTGAAGAATGGGGCACTGACACCTGCTTCTGCTTCTATGATTGAAATATTATGGATGTAAAAATTGTTGAGTTTTTTTAATGATAGGATATTTGCTTGATTCTAACAAAATACCTTATTTTTGAAAGTTGGTTAGGGAGAAAAGCTCTCTAAAAATGAGTTTGAAGAAAAATTAATGTCAATACACAAAAAAGGAAAACTATAGGCCAATCTCCCTAATGAACACTGATGCAAAAATCCTCAATAAAATTTTAGCTATCAGAATCCAACAATGTATCCATAAGATAATTCACCACGACCAAGTTGGATTCATTCCAGGGGCACAAGGATGGTTTAACATCCGAAAATCAATCAACGTTATCCAACACATCAACAAAAAGAAATATAAAAACCATATGATAATATCAATAGATGCTGAGAAAGCTTTCGACAAAGTGCAACACCCATTCATGATCAAAGCCCTTGAAATTCTTGGGATACAAGGAACATACCTCAACATCATAAAGGCCATCTATGACAAGCCAACAGCCAGTATCATTCTCAATGGTGAAAAGCTGAAAGCAATTCCATTAAGATCTGGAACAGGACAAGGATGTCCACTCTCACCACTGCTTTTCAATATAATACTGGAAGTCCTAGCCAGAGCAATAAGACAAGAGAAAGACATCCAAGGAATCCAAATAGGAAAAGAAGAAGTCAAACTATCACTATTTGCAGATGATATGATAATATACATAGAGAACCCCAAAATCTCCACAGAAAAACTAATTCAACTCATCAGTCAGTTCAGTAAAGTGGCAGGATACAAAATCAACACGCAAAAGTCAGTAGCCTTCCTATACACAAACAATAAATCTGAAGAAGAAGAAATCAAAAAAACCACCCCTTTTATTATTGAAACAAAAAAAATCAAATATTTGGGAATAAATCTAACAAAAGAGGTAAAGGACCTATACAAAGAAAACTATAAAACACTGTTAAAAGAAATAGAAGAAGACACAAAGAAATGGAAAGACATCCCCTGCTCATGGATTGGAAGAATAAACATTATTAAAATGGCCATCCTACCAAAAGCAATATACAGATTCAATGCTATTCCAATCAAAATCTCAATGGCATTCTTCAAAGAAATAGAACAATTATTGATGAAATTCATATGGAATCACCAAAAACCCCAAATAGCCAAAGCTCTACTGAAAAAAAAAGAAGGAAATGGAGGCATCAAACTCCCAGACTTCAAACTATACTACAAAGCCATAATCATCAAAACTGCATGGTATTGGAACAAGAACAGACATACAGACCAATGGAATCGAATAGAAAATCCAGAAATAAACCCACAGATTTATGGTCAACTAATCTTTGACAAAGGAGCAAAGACTATGCATTGGAGCAAAGAAAGTTTGTTCAATAAATGGTGCTGGGAAAACTGGGTCGCTACATGCAAAAGAATGAAGCTTGACCACTACCTCACACCATACACAAAAATCAACTCAAAATGGATTAAAGAACTAGACATAAGACCTGAAACCATAAAATACATAGAAGGAAATATAGGTGAAACACTACGGGATTTGCACATCAAAGACATCTTTACAGACACATCACCCAAAGCAGTGATAGTGAAGACAAAGATAAACAGCTGGGACTACATCAAATTAAAGAGCTTCTGCACAGCAAAAGAGACAATAACAAAAACAAAGAGAAACCCCACCAACTGGGAGAACATTTTTGCACCCAACACTAATGATAAAGGACTGATCACAAAAATCTGCAAAGAGCTGATGAGACTCAGCAACAACAAAGAAAATAATCCAGTCAAAAAATGGGCAGAAGAGCTAAAAAGAAACTTCTCTGAAGAGGAAATGCAAATGGCCAACAGACATATGAAAAAATGTTCAACATCACTTGCAATCAGGGAAATGCAAATCAAAACTACCATGAGATACCATCTCACACCAGTGAGAATGGCACATATTAAAAAAACTAGCAACAACAAATGTTGGCGACGTTGTGGAGAAAAAGGAACTCTTCTGCACTGTTGGTGGGAGTGCAAACTGGTCCAACCACTATGGAGAGCTGTGTGGAGATTTCTGGACCTACTAAACATAGAGCTTCCATATGATCCAGCAATTCCACTCCTAGGTATTTACCCAAAGGACACAGAAACATCAATTCCAAAGAGCACCTGCACCCCTATGTTTATAGCAGCACTGTTTACAATAGCTAAGCTTTGGAAACAACCCAAATGCCCAAAAGTAGATGACTGGATCAAGAAGATGTGGTACATATATACCATGGAATATTACTCAGCATTCAAAAAAGATAAACACATGCAATTTGCAGCAACATGGATGGCGCTGGAAGGGATCATGCTCAGCGAAATAAGCCAAAAAGAAAAAGAAAAATACCGGATGGTCTCACTCATAGCAGGAATCTAGAAAACTTAAATAAGGGACCAGGAAAATGAATATAAGAAAGTGAAAATCAAAATCAACAAAAAACTATGAACCAGAGACACTTTTTGGGGGGGTGTGGGGCGGGAGGGGAAGGATTGGGGTCAGAATGGGGCGTTTGCAATTGTATGGGGGAATATAAAAATAAAATTTAAGATTAAAAAAAAATTAATGTCAATACATGATTCTTATACATAATAAAATTTCCTAAAATCAGGAAAAAAAATCTTCTTTAAACACTTACCAGAAGTGGTATTATTTGTAAGGCATTTTTGATGGAAGGATTTTTGCAAATGGTTTCTTGTACATCTGAAATAATTATATAATGATACAAAATAATTTAGTTATATATTTTGAAAGGGAATGACTAAAGAATCAATTATTAAATTCTGATGTGTCAAAACATCCAAAATTGAGTAAGAGACTTTCTCATTGACCCCAGAAAGTCATTATACTTATAGGAGGTTAAAAACTGGAAGCTGGGCCTCCCAGGTGGCACGCTGGGTTGAGCGCAGTGCTGTGAAGCTGTCCAGTCTCTGCAATGAGGTTCGTTCCCCAGAAGGCCAGGGAGAACCCCACATGTCGCAGCAGACCTCTCCTGCCTCGCCTGCTGCTCCCCTCAGCACTGTCTTCGGTCCTTGTGCTTGTTCTGCTCCCCCCTCTGTCTCTGGTGAATCCTCTCACCCTCCTGAGCCTCTGGCCTATACCCAAGCTCTTGTATAAAAATAAATAAAATCTTTAAATTTTTTAAAAAAAAATCCCCAAAACTGGAAGCTATTTCGTTAAAAAACAATTGCATAAAACTTAAGTTTGATAAAAAGGAATTCCCAGTATTTAATTATATAATATAATAATCTTTATTCAAATGTTAGGTTTTTTCCTTTTCTTCTGTTTTTTAAACCAAAAAATGAACTTCATTCTTGGAGCATCTCAGGAAAGAAGACATGTTTATTTAGCTGCTGAGGCACAAAAAATTGAGTGATTTGATCAATTCTTGCGTTTTAATTTTTCTGGCTTTTGTCTATAAAATAGCAAGCATCAGAGAAAAAGAAAAATATTCAGGCAGAATCTTTTATATGAAATAACTGATCACGTGGCAATATCTAACAGAAAAAAGATAAACTGTGTAATTTTATATCCTAAATTTATAGCCTTGGTTCTGTGTTGCTTTGTGGTTGCAGCCTCTTGCTCTTAATAGTATAGTACTTTTATTTCATTTTTTGTTTGTGTATTATTACTTTTAAATTTTAATTTTGAAAGTAACACACATAGAGTATATAAAACATATGTATATTTTAATTAATAAGAACAAGCAGTAAGATATTTGAACATTTTTACTCCTTTGAAAGTCTCCCCAGGCTCCCCGCTGCCCTGCAGAAGGCATGCCTCCTTGCCAGGTAACTCACTGTGCTATTCCTTTGTAACCTGAACACATGTATACATCTCCCAAATAATACTTAATACTGTCTAGGTTAGCCTGTTTCTGAACTTTGCATAAAGGAAATTGGATTGTCTTTGTCTTATTCAGTTCAAAATTACATGTAATTTAGTTCATCCATGATGATTTATGAAGCTACAGTTTGTTCTCCTGTGTCTTCCACCACCAGAATAAACTGTGTCTGTAAAATTTTAATTCCTGGCTTTTATAAACAATCATGTCTCCTGATATATACATGCCGGGTTTTCTCCACAGTATGCTTCCAGGGTATGAGTCTGCTGGGTGGCAGGATATTTTCATGTTTAACGGGGGCGGCGGCTAGCTATTTCCTAAGGAGGCAACTCCCACCCACATTATGTGAGAAATCCTACCGCTGCTCTTCTTACCAACACTTAGCATTGCCAGACATTCAAGCTTCTGATGAGTAGGTAACTCCACCCCTTTGTGTGAGTAGGTAACTCCATCCCATTGCATTTTCCAATACTAACGAAGTTGAATATCATTGTTTATCAGTATTTACATTCCCTTTGTTGTGTATTCCTATTCAAGTGTCCTCTCCCTTCCCATTTTTCTACGAGTTGTCTTTTTTTCTTCTTGATTTATAGTTTGTTCTATATTTTGAACAATAGTACGTACATACTATGGAAAAATAGTATGTACTTCTATTGAAAATAGTTTGTACTATAACTATTTTTCCCTACTTTGGACCTGTCTTTTCATTCTTTCAATGAGTTTGGTTATGCAGAAGTTTGTAAGCTTAAAAAGTCAAGTTTATTAATGTTCTCCTGTATTATGTTCCTTGTGATTGACTTAAGAAATCCTGCCTAGGGCCTCCCCTGGTGGCGCAGGCAGTTGAGCGCCCACTGTGAAGCTGTCCTCAGCCTCTGTAGCGCTGGTTCAATCCTAGTCAGGTGAGGGTCCCACACGGTGCAGCAGACCTCTCCTGTGGCTCTGCTGTCATGTCCGCTGCTCCCCTCAGTAGTGTATTTCGTCAGTCTGCCTATTCTGTCTCTGTCTCAGGTGAATCCTCTCACCCTCCCGCACATCTGGCCTGTACCCCAGTTCTTGTATAAATAAGTAAATAATCTTTAAATAATAATAAAAAAAGAAATCCTGCCTTACCCAAAAGTTAGAAAATATTTTCTTATATTTTCTCATAAAAAGTTTTATATATTTTCTTTCACATTAAATCTTTCATTACTTTGGAACCAATTTCTCAGAATGGTATTTTGTAGCACCCATTATGGAGTGATGAAAATCTCATCTGAAAATGACTCCAGAAGTTCTCTGCAGCTCTTCTTTCAATGTGCTAGCTGGGATCCAGGAACAGCTTTGCAGCCCAGGTGAGAGAAGCTATACCTAACTCGAACTTCCTGTGAGCTCAGTAGCTCCTTCTCCTCGCAAGAAGGCCTGCCCTTTCTCACACATTTTTCTACAACTCTTGTATGTTTCTCCCTGCCCCTCTCCCCTAATTTTTTGTTTTCTATCTTTGTGTTTCATTTCAAAACATTTTTATTATCCTACTCTCAAAGTTCACTGATTGTTTCCTTGATTCACTTGAGTCCACTGGTGAGCCATAGGAGACATTTTTCATTTTGTTCTGATGTCTCACATCTCTGAACGGCCCTTTCTATAGTTACCATCTTACTGAAATTCTCCGTTCTTTGTAGATGTTGCCTACCGGTCCCATGTTCTCTACCTACCTTTTTCACTATAACCTTTGCCCTATTAGTTACAGTTACTTAAATAAAACCATATAAACTTTTAGACTGTAAGACCAATTACTGATTACCAGGAGGGAAGGGAATGAGAGAATTGGGGAAAGGGACCAATGGTATGGTGAAGGACAGATTTGCACTTGTACCAGTGAACTTAATGTAACACAAACACATGTTGATTCTCAACAATGAACACTTGAAAACTTATATAATGTTATGATGCGTTGTGACTTCATTTAAAAAATTCCTTATATTCTTACCAGCTCATTACTACATTTAATATTTTTAAAGTACTTAATCCAGAATTTATTTATTTTTGATGGGTGGTCACAAAAGATACCTACCCTGTCTCACAATGCTAAAATGGAAGTCGATTCATAAGTTCCTAGAAGACAGTTTAGCCTGCCACAGAAATTGGCACCATCATAAATGATATAAATATAGTACACATAAAATAGTATGGTCTATTCAAATATATTCTGAATGGTTTTGTCCTTGGTAGGTGATATTCTGGATAAATTTTGTATTCTATTTTTAAATTTTAAATTAAAATGGTCTAAATACAAAATATGGCATTTTTCACAAAAAGATGCTCTTCCATACTTACAGTATAAACTTTCATTGAGACGATTAAGGGACTGTAGAATCTTTTGTTCTTCATCTGATAGTGCACAGATGGTGAACTGCTGAGTCTTATTCAAAGCCATATCTGGTTTCTGTAGCTGCTTGCTATTTATGACAGTCAGAATTTCATCTTCAGGCACTGAAGCTTTTACTAGGTTTTCAGCCATCAAAAACTCAGAAGTACTATCTGAAACTGCAGAAACATATTAATTGTTCTTTCATCCTCACTTGTCTTAGTTGACATTTCTGTATCTATTCACTTCACAAACAGAAGAAAGCCAGGATATATTTTTTTAAGTTTGCATTTTATATATTAGGATCAATATGGAGCATTTTTCTATTCCTGATATATATAAAAATGGGATATTCAAAATCGTGGCAGTGAGGTATTAAAAATTCCTAGAGTGTTACCTGAACTAAAGACAGCATACATTGTGTAGATTATTTATTTTGTGTTCTGTTATTCAGAGAGGATTAAGTAGATTGCCTTTCCAATAACAGTTAAGATGAGTTACAAACAAGAGAGTAAGAGAAAAGGAACTTAAAGATTAGAAAATTAGATGATCAGCTGAACAGAACTCAAGCCTAGAACCAGACCCAATTAGACAGAAGAATGGAACAGATGATCAAAGGCTAGAGAGAAGGGAAAGAGGACTGAATAAATTAGTTGCTAACAAAATAACCAATTTGGAGTTCACTTTACACCATTCAATTAAGTTCCAAAGGGTCTCCCCTGGTGGTGCAGGCAGTTGAGCACCACGCTGTGCAGCTGTCTGCAGCTTCTGCAGCGCTGATTCTATCCCAGCCGGCAAGGGTCCCACATGGCGTGGCAGACCTCTCCCGTCGCACCCGCTGCTCTCCTTAGCAGTGTATTTCGTCAGTCTGCCTGTTGTGTTCCCCGCTCTGTCTCTGGTGAATCCTCTCACCCTCCTGTGTATCTGGCCTGTACCCGGTTCTTATATAAATAAATAATTAATTAAAAAATCTTAAAAAAAAAATAAGTTCCAAAAAATTTAAAGAATTAAATGTAATAATCAAACTAGTAAAGCAACCTAGAGGAAAAGAAATAAATATATCTAAATTCTATATTTAGAAGGTTCTTTGAGCTTTAAAATAATGGAGATATCACTAAAAGACTAAAAAAAATATTTATTTAAGACCAGTCTTTAAATTTCTGAAGGGCAAGATTTCTGTATCTTCTGTTTGTTATTATATAGCCAATATCTAGGTGCAGGCAGAAAATTAACTGTCAATAATCATTCATTAAAATAAAAACCATAGGAACATATCAATAGATGTTGAGAAAGCATTCAACAAAGTCCAACATCCATTTATGATGAAGGCCCTTGAAATTCTTGGGATAGAAGGAACATACCTCAACATCATAAAGGCCATATATGACAAACCCACTGCCAACATTATTTTCAATGGAAAAAAGCCGAAAGCCTTTCCTTTAAGATCAGGAACGAGACAAGGATGTCCTCTCTCACCACTGCTTTTCAATATAATACTGGAGGTCCTACCCAGGGCAATAAAACAAGAGAAAGACATACAAGGAATCCAAATAGGGAAAGTAGAAGTAAAACTATCACTATTTGCAGACAATATGATAAAAACTCCACAAAAAAAACTACTCAAAATAATCAACCAGTTCAGTAAAGTAGCAGGATACAAAATCAACATGCAAAAATCAGTAGCCTTCCTACACACAAACAATCAATCTGAAGAAGAAGAAATCAGGAAAACCATCCCTTTTATAATTGAAACAAAAAAAAATCAAATACTTGGGAATAAACCTAACAAAAGAGGTGAAAGACCTATACAAAGAAAATTATAAAACACTGTTAAAAGAAATAGAAGAAGACACAAAGAAATGGAAAGACATCCCCTGCTCATGGAGTGGAAGAATTAACATTATTAAAATGTCTATCCTACCAAAAGCAATATACAGATTCAGTGCTATTCCAATAAAAATCTCAATGACATTCTTCAAAAAATAGAACAAATACTGGTAAAATTCATATGGAACCACAAAAAACCAGGAATAGTCAAAGCCCTACTGTTGAAAACAAAGGAGAAGGATGTATCACACTTCTAAACTTCAAGCTATACTACAAAGCCATAATAATTAAAAGTTTGGTATTGGAACAAAAACAGACACACAGACCAATGGAACCAATAGAAAGCCCAGAAATTAAACCACATTTACATGAACAACTGATTTTGACAAAGGAGCAAAGAATATGCAATGGAACATGGGCAGTTTGTTCAATAAATGGTGCTGGGAAAACTGGACCACCATATGCAAAAAAATGAAACTAGACCAATACCTCTCATAGTGCACAAAAATCAACTCAAAATGGATACGAGCTGGATATAATTCTCCTACATTGCTGGTGGGAGTGCAAACTGGTCCAACCACTATGGAAAGCTGTCTGGAGGTTCCTCAGTCTATTAAAAATGGAGCTCCCATACGACCCGGCAATTCCACTACTAGGGATCTACCCAAAGGACACAAAAATATTGATTCAAAAGAACACCTGTACACCTATGTTTATTGCAGCACTATTTACAATAGATAAAACCTGGAAACAACCCAAATGCCCAAAAATAGATGACTGGATCAAGAATATATGGCATATATACACAATGGAATATTATTCAGCAATCAAAAAAGATAAACTCATGCCATTTGCAGCAACGTAGATGGAGCTAGAAGGAATTTTGCCCAGTGAAATAAGTCTGAAGGAAAAGAAAAATATCACTTGTAGGAGGTTTCACTTGTAGGAGGAATATAGGGGAAACAATTAAGACATCAGGGGAAAAAAAATAATAACAACATAAAACACAACACAATGAAACAAAATCAAACAGAATATAAATCAGAGACATCCTGCAGGGGAGGGGGAGGGAGAGGGATTGGAGGGAGGGAAGGAGGGGCAACACAGGGGAGTGAGGTGATGGTGCACAGGTGAATTGTTAGAGGAAATTCTATGGAGACTATACCTGAGAGCAGGCGGTTGGGGAAAGCAAATATTGTTTAAAAGAGAACAGTGATGTAAAATATATATAAATAAATAAACAACAACAACAAAAAATACTATTAGGCATAGTAGTAATAAAATGTCAAAACTACTAAAATACCATTTCTTTGCCTGTCATATAAATATTACAAGTTGAGTCTACTTCAAGTTGGTGTACACCACTAGAATGATTTTGTTTTTTGTGGGTTTTTTTTTTTTTTTTTTTGGTATTTAAAGAGCAGGTTTATTAGAAAAGGGATAGGATAGTAAAAGTTGCTTAGACACAAGGGGGCAGGAAGAGCTGCCCCAAAAGAGACAGGTTTGCTAAGAGAGGCCTGAATGGTCGCAGGTGGGTGGCCTTGAGGAAAGCTGCCTCCGCTGAAGGAGGTCAGTAAAGAGAAGCCCCGGCATGTGCAGGTCATGGGAAGGCAGGAGGCTGCTGCCCTACAGAGGGAGAGAGTTGGTGAAAAGAGGCACCTGCATAGTCACAGGAGGGCAGTGGAAGTGCTGCCTAGAATGATTTTGAATAAAATTTTCAGGAAAATGCTTTAGGAATACCAACTCATGTTTCCTTTGATCCATTATTCATTTTTACCCAGAAACATTTACTGGGCAATTATATGCCAGCTACTATAATTTTAATTCTGGGAATCTGTCCTATGGAAATAACTGAAATGTCAGGAATAATTTTGATATAGAAAGATGTTCAATATGTTATTATTTCAAATAAAGGTAATAACCTACATGGCAACAACCTACATGTACTGGGTGAGGAGAGTGCTGGTTCTGATTGGTGGTCTAACAGTCATGTAATATCTAAGGATTTGGGGAAATAAGTAAAAGAAAAATAAAGAAATCACAGGGAACAGAGCTCAGAAGAAAATGTTTAAATTAAAACATACCTTCTTCAGTATTAGAAATACTCCTTGTAATTTGTTTTGGCTCACTTGAACTTAGCCAGACACTTTGTCCAAAATTCTATAAAAATAGAATATTAAATCAGAACATAACTCATTTAAAATTCATGACATATACATTGATTTTTGAAACTTTTATACACTTGTATATATTTTCAACTATCATTACTCATGTCATTTATGTATTTTCTATATTTTAGAGGAAATATAAAGAATTGCAGGAATTAAGTCCTTCCCATGGAAACTGGATACTTTAAAAAAATGTTGATTTTGAAAAACTTTGTAGGTTGTAGTGATGTTTTGGGGTATTTGGAAGAGGGAAGTAGGTTGGGTTGGCAACCTACAAAAGTGCTAATTAAAGGAAACATGAAAAACCTTAAGGTTTATAATCTTGGAGGTTTATCATTATATGGTGAACCACAACTTCTGGTCCAAAACCTTTGATTATGGCTAATGCCAAGGACAGTAAGTATCTTAGATGACAAAACTACAAACAGAAAGAGCTGCCTCAGTGTTGCACAGAAGTGGGAAACAGGAAATCCCAGGGCACTGGAAGTTGGCACACGTACTCAGCGCTCTCCGTGGGATCCAGCTCTCCTTCTCTGGGTTCGGGTATACTTTGTCTCTTCACGCCCATTCTGTTCCACTTTAAGAAGTAAACTATGGTTTCTCTCAAACTACATGGCTCTAACTAGCCTTTGTACTGGTCTGAAGTGGAATGGATGTGGTGTTTGAGGCCCCTCTCCATCATCCTGGCTAAACTCTAGAGAGGCTTAAGGCACCTTGGACTGAGACCATGATGCCAAGTGCAATTCTACTTTTTTTCTGTAATCCATTCATCTCTTCTAGAGTGGGCTGGTAAAAATCCAGTATGATAAAGGTGACAGGGGCTACTACTAAAATAACTGACCCTTTATTTAGGCTCTTCAGTGAAAACAAAGAAACACCAAAACTGAAAAACCAGAAGAAAACAATAGGGATGGAAAAAAATTAAACTTGAAAACTTGATTTTGATTCAGGCATACCCATTAAAAGTTACCAAGACTTTGGAAGATTTTGGGCTAATGGAAGATGCACATGGGAAAGTGTAAGTGGACTTCGGGAAAGAAAGACAAGATGAACTCTGAAGTCTGTAAGACAGAATGGAAAGGAGCAAGCATGAAATAAGAGCCAGAAAAGTAAAGATGTATTTAGAGAGGGCACTAATAATGCATTTAAAATCTAATTTGTTCATTCCTTATGTTAGACCATCTATATATCAATATTTTAAATTTAAAATATATTAATAAAAAAGGAAAAATTATTCAATTTATATTTTTTGAGATGTTTGATGTGAACAACATGAAAGCTAATAAGGAAGTACTTGTTGGCATTATTGCATTTGTGATCAGGAAGTTACATTTGTAAGCACTATGTTATTAAGTAGTAAAACTGTTACAAATGGGACCTTATTTACATAAATGTACAAATGAGTTTTGCTTGTTGATAATATTACATCATGACTTATTAATATTCTTATCCATATAAATAGTTCCTACAACACACAAACAAAAGGACCCTCAACCTATAAGTTGGAACTTAAATTCCTCGTATGACATTTTACTCCAGTTCTATTGAAATAATACTTAAAGCAGAAACTACCAAGAAAAATGCCATTCACTCATGTAGATTTTTAAATATTTTAAATTCAATACTTGCATGAGGTTAGCCCCCTAGAAAATGTCATATGTAGGTCACAGAATTATCTCCATTAATTTTTGAATTGCTATTAGTATGTTTAACTTTTATTGCATATCTTAACCTCAAACCATTTTATGAAATCACTCCTTTATTCATTGTTGACTGTTGATAAGTTTTTGTCCATCATAAACTTCAAAGTACCCTATACAAGATTTCGCAATGTGAAATGCCTTTTAATATAGCATATTTGAAACAATATCATTACCAGTATTCCTGGAGAGCGATATAATTCATTCTATTTTTTTTTGGTCACATCTTCAAGGAAACTTAGATCCAGATAGAATGCTAAACACATGGAACTATATTAGTGTTTATGATTAGCATGTTTGCTTCCTCTACCTATTGCTCTAATTTACTTTTATTTTTAATGTATAATCTAAGTAACTCTGTTGTGAATGTCACATTTCCAGAGTTGACTACAAATAATAAAATAGTGAATTCTTAAAATTGGTTTAAAGTCTTCCTTAGTACTGTTCCCGTAGGCTAATTAGAATATTACAAATTAGAAAAGTAAGTTTCTTGCCTAGATTCCAAGGCTGCTTTACGATGACTTTGGCTGTATTTATATTTATGTTGTAGTGCAGTTCATAGTAAGAGCATAGTCCTTTCTAGGAAATTTTTCACTATGAGTAGAGATTAACTTTTACTAATACTGTACTTACATTCATTTGTTCACTGTACTTCTGTCCTACAGATCCAGGATTTTGTCTTTTCTGCTCTAACAGACTTCTCTGCTTATTTTCAACAATTCGTTTTCTTCTTGTAACAGTAGAATCTTAAACAAATGCCAGTATAATATCAAAAATTGAGTAGATAATATATATCCACCATAAACTTCCAAGTTACCTTCAAACATTACAGAAAAATTCTAAATCTCATTCATTCAGCAAATTTTATTGAGCTTCTCTTATATGTACTATGCATGACAGTTACAAATAATAGATTGAACAAAATTTCTGTTTCTGAGGGATTTAGGCAATTTTAGGCAATTTCTGTTTCTGAGGGGTTTACAGTTTAGAGCAGTGACTTTCAAAGTATGGTGCTGGAACACTAGGATATGCAAAATAAATCACTCCTATGCGGGAAGGACATATCAATTTCCATTTTACATTCATTATCTACAAGTTAGAAATTAAATTTTATTATGATTAATAAGCAGTTGGCATTGGGACCCTGGTAGGATTGACAGGTAGAGGGTCAAATACTGCATACAGTACACAAAATAATCTTGTAGGAAGTATGAGGGTTGGCAGGAAGCTCTTTCACTTCCTGCAATGTACTAAATTATGCTTTGTGGGTTAACAGATACATTGTAGTACCTGAATGAGTATCAAAATGGGAAAGAAACTTTAAAAAGGCTTTTGTAGGGTATGTATTGTGTGTGTGGTCCTGTATTATTTAAGGTGAGTGGTGTGTATATGAATATCGGTCATTTATATGTTTTTTTGTATAATTAAAAACATTCTTGCAAAATCACAAAGATCATACTAGAAATGCAAGTGCAGGTATAAAAAGGCAGAGCAGATACATAAACTTGTAGTCTCATAAACTTTTTGTCACATAATGATGACAGTATAATTATAGTTACAAATTTTATCACAAATTCAAAGATTAACAAAAAATTGTTAACAATAAACTTTATCTTAAATGCACATTGTGTCTTGAGAAATTAGGTAATGATGATAGCATGTGGAATGAAGTCATTGTAATTGATAAGACATTTAATATTAAGCATTAGGATTATTAATGAGAGAAAAGTAATGTTATATAGCTAATACATAAAATGCAGTGATACAATAAAAAACCTGCAGTGCATTGGTCTAGAATGGATATAAATTACACTAAAGTACTTAGATTGGCTGTAAAGCCATAAACAGAGTTAAGTGAAAACACAGTAAGTCAAGTGTCTGAGAATCCTGAAAGGTTTCACAGAGAAGGTTATGCCTGAGGTCCACTTTAGAATAGCAGTAAAGTGTCCAAGGAAAAGGACTCTGAGTTGTAAAGGACATTATGTGCAAAGGCACAAAGAAACAATGATGTATAATTAAGAATTTCCTTGGAACCAAAGTGTAGAAAATTCAATTAGTCTGGGACATAGCATGCAAGTATGTGTGTGAGCATGCACACATCTTGTGTGTGTGTGTGCTTCGTTATAAGAGTTCAGGTAGGAGTAAAAAATGGAAGAATTTGGAGCTCTGAAATTATGTGCTAGAAAACATGGGTTTGAATATTGAATCATAGTACTATTGCTACTCTCTATATAAGTATACATACATAGCTTCATATATCTTTACCTAACAGAGATATGTGTATATAGTTATATGCATATGACTAAACATATAAAACTATATATAACTATATACCTAAACCCACAAAGATCCCGCCCCCCCCCAAAGAAAGCTGGCTAGTAATAAAACATCCAATCTTTTAGAGTAAGGATAATAATTCTAGCTAATTTGTTAGCGCATTCGTAATTGCCCAGGCATTGTTCCAAGAGCTAAAGGCACTACTTTTCTTAAAGAAATTAAGCCACAGGAGAGGATAATTGCCCAAGGTCACAAAGCCAGTAAAGAACAAAGCTGGGATTTAGTTTCAAGCAGCTGGACTCTAAAATCTGAAATTCAAGTTCTTACCCTCTATACAAATAATTTTCATTCTGAGTTGATAGCGTTACACTGAAAGAAAGGTATTTTGCATTGGGATTCAAGATGCATAGACAGCTTTGTCAAACTTATTTACACTTAAAATCTGATGCCCACTGGAAGTTTCTACTCTAGAACATTCTGATTCTAAAATTATCTTTTATTTAAAAAAGTGCTAGTCACCGTTCACTAACTTCATAAATCTTTAATAAGTCGTGACCTATAGTTTAAAAAGCACTGCATTATGTTTATTATCACCCATATGCTAAATGTGCTTTATGCTATAGTTTCTAGTAAGATCATTTGGGTAAGCAATAAAATTTCTATATATCAATAGTTTTATAAGCTTGGAATTGTTGTCCCCTAAATCTTACAAATCTTACAAAGTTCCTCTTTTCTTTCTTTGAAGAACTTGTAAAAATACCTAAAATGAAAATTTCCTTGGCCATATAACTGCAGAGTCAAGATATCTCCTTTCCTTCAGCCTATTTGTAATTCTTTTGGAGTCAAGATCTAGCAACACTCTGTATTAGAGTGTCATTTATACTATATTTGCGTTTCATTGTTCCTTGTGTAGATGTTCAATTTTGTTGATTGTAGATCGAGTACAAGAAAAGACACAGTATATGTTTAAAACTATTTGTGTATGGTTCCACTCACACACATAAACAATGCTATCTAATAGTTAGTACAATAGATGAGAACCTTGGTATTTTTGCAAATATAATATAGTTTGCACTAGCATCTCTGGTCAATTTCTAGTCTGATGTAGAAATTCTAGATATGGCAGTGTTACTACCAAAACTCAAAATAAAGCAAGTAATTTTCAATAAGTATTATATGCTTTTAAATTTGTAGTATTCTCAACTATAAACCAAAGGGAAAACTCTGAAAACATTCACAGAATAATGGCAGATCTAAGAAGTTAACTAGTTCAATCTCTTATTCAAGGATCTGGACATTCAATCTCTGCCTGAATAGTATAGAATGGGGACCTATTACCCCAAATGGGCTTTATCTTTCATAGGTGGTGGTTGTAGCTCAAATCCTCTCTTACGTAATTTTTGCCCATTAAATTATTTTTTTTCTCCACATAATCCCTCACATTTTTGAGGACACAGCTACTATTTTTGAGACACAGTTACTATGTCTTTTAGGCTTGTACCACTTTAATTGGTCTTCAGACCCAAGCCTGTGCAGCCTAGAATAATGTGGCACACAGCTATGCTTCCACAGATTTAGTTATTATTGGCTAAAATTATGTTAGTTTTATAAGAACTAAGGGTAATAATAGGCGTAAGCTCCTATTATTCTTTTTCTTTGATTTAGTTTTGCATTTAAAAAAAAACAGTTGTCAAGATGGGTATCTCTCTTCTTAGAAATGTAAAATGAAAAAAGAATAAAGCCACAAATACATACAATCAAACTGAAAAGGAAAAGACCACATTAAAATGAACTTTTATTCATCAAGAAAGTGAAACTACATATTACAAATTGGCAGAAAATAATTGCAACACGTATAACTGACACAGAATCTTGGACTATATAAAGAATTTCTATTCAAAAAACAAAACAAAACAAAATCTAATAAAACCAAAAAACCCAAGATCAGACATTTCAAGAAGAGGAAATGCAAATAGCCCATAAACATACAATGCTCAGTTCATTAGTAACTGGAGCAACAGAATTGTTATAATTAGATACCACTTCTGACCCAGGTAGATTGAAAACATTAAAAAATCTGACAGAGCTCTGGTGAGCCTGTAGTAAAGGGAACTTTCACACATTGCTGTAGAAAAGTATTTCACATTACCTAATAAAGTTGAAACTACACATACCCTATGATCCAGCCACATGTTTATCAGACAAATAAAACTGTCTCCAGAATCATTACTCATAAAAGTAAGAAACCAGAGCAACCCAAATGTCCAATAAAGGGCAAAATTTTTTTGTATATTCATATAATGTAATGTGGTAGAATAATGAAATATGAAGTATTGCTAAATTAATCAGTAATGCATCTAAAAAACCAAATTGGTTGAAAAAGCAAATTATAAATGAAATAATTGCACTTATGTGCTAAAAAATTAAATAATATTGCTTGGGATATATTCACAAAATTACAGTAAAATTATAAAGAAAAGCATAGAACCACTAACACAATTCTACTGATGGCTTCTATAAGAGAGGGAGAGGATGCAGTTGGGGCGAATCATGGGATTTCAATGATTCTAGTGATCTTTTATTTCTAAAACTGGGCAACAGGTACAAGGTCCTTATTAAGTTTTTAACTTGTTCTTAGATATTACATACATTCTTTTGTATTAAGATATACTTTTAAAATGGCAAAAAAACTTTAAAAAGTAAATTGAAAGCAAATACATGGCATCATGATTATATCTGTTAAACTGAAAACCTTATTAGTTTTGGTTTACATTTCAGCTAGAAAAGATGATTTTGAAAATTGATTCCCATCTTCCTTTGTAATTTTGTGCTCTCCATACACTGTATTGATCAATGTGCTATTTCTTTTTCATACATATCACTGAAAAATCTGTGGTTATTCATTTTTCATTTTATAATTTTTTTTATGTCCAGCTTGAGATATTGATACATAACATAGGTAAGTTTAAGGTGTATAATGTGAAGACATACATACATATTGCAAAATGATTACCACAATAAGGTTAGTTAACATCTCAATCCCCTCACATAGTTTTAATGTGTTTTTTTAGACAGCCAGGTAGCTAACATAGCTACCAGAGATACACTGTCTCCTTGCCATGCCACTTATACTATGTGACTTGTACAAATTATTAACCCTCTAAGTGCCTCAGTTTCCTGATGTATAACATGGAAGTAATATTATTTACCTCACAGAGTTATTGGAAGAATTACATTTTTCCATATGTGAACTGTGCTTAGAATAGTGACTAACACACAGTAATACAAATCTTTACCTAGAATAATTTGCTTCCATGAAATAAGATTTTTTTAATCATCATTTTAATTTATAGATGAGAAAACTGAATCCTGGAGATGCGCTGTCCAATAACTAGCCACTAGTTGTTGGAGGCGGCCACCCCGTGTAGTGAGCAGAGGGGCCTTGCCCCTTTGTCCCTAAGGCATGTGAAAACACATGTGTCTCAGAGGAAAACCTCTGAGTGACAGGACTTGGTGTTGAGAGACTGGAAAGTGACCTGCGTGGAGTCAGGCTTCTACATCTCCACAGTCTGAGAATAACAAAATGGAGAGACCCTGCGCAGTGAGCAGAAGGGCCTTGACCCAAGTCTTTAAGGCATGTGAAAACACATGCATCTCGGAGGAAAACCTCTGGGTGATAGGACTTGGTGTTGAGAGCCTGGAAGTGACCTGTGTACATCTCCACAGTTTGAGAATAACAAAAATAATGAGTGAACTTCCCAGGCTCTGGCTAGGGGGCGATAAGATTATGTGTGTGAGAACTAACCACCTGGTACCCTACTGTCTGAAGTAAATAGATAATAGTAAGAAAATAGACTAATCATTCATACATGTTATCATTATATGGTATGCTTTGATGTTACACCTGCTGCAATTAAAATAGTATATAATGAGCACTAAGACAATAAAGATTTACTGCATGTTGGACACGACAGTCCCCCATGTCTGATTTCCCTCCCCATTGTGTCCCAGGTTTGGACTCACTAGAAGTCCACAACTAGTCACATTTTAGTATTTAAATTTAACTTATTTATGTTTTTATTTATTTAGTCTCTCCACCAAATCACCTGTGCCCATACTCCTTCTGCCTTCTTCCCCTACCCCTCCACCCCTTCTCATTCCTTCTGATTGCCATTATCTTCTTTTTGCGGAGTTCAAATATTTATTTCTTCTACTGTTTTTGTGCATTTTTTTTTGGTATTTATATCCTCAGATGAGCAAAACCATCAAAAATCTGTTTTTCATTTGACTAATTTCACTCAACATAATCACCTCAAGGTCCATCCACTTTGTCCCAAATGCCACTATTTCATCTTTTCTACTTTTATTTTATTGAGGTAACATTGGTTTATAACACTGTAGGTGACTCATATATAGGATCACACCTCTCCAGATGCACGTCTTCACACTACACCTACCGCTAGGCACCCACAGTCCTGTGCACTCTCTGCTGTGTTTTCTCCCTTCCCCTCTTGTAGCCGTGATTCCACAGTTTTCTAGGATTTGTTATTGGTTTTGTTTTATCTGACTTTCTGTTTCTCTATATTACACATGCAAATGAAACTATCTCATAATTGTCTTTTTCCTTCTGACATTTCACTAAGCATTATTCCTTCTAGTTCCATCCATATTGTTGCAAATGGGAAGAGTTCATCTTTATTTTATAGGTGAACAGTATTCCATTGTGTATATACACCACATTTTTCTAATCCACTCCTCTGTCCTGTGGTACTTAGGTTGTTTCTATAACTTAACTTTTGTAAATAAGGCTGCAATGAACATAGGAGTGCAAATATCTCTTCAAATTACTGTATTGACATTCTTTGGGTATAAAACTAGGAGTTTTTAATATTTTGAGAAACCTCTATACTGGAAAATTAGATTTTTTTCCTAAGGGTAAGAACACTGGAGCTATAATACAAAATCCTGACTCTGTTTTGAACCAGCTGTGTGATCCTGGGTTATATACTTTCATTATGTGTGCCAGTTTTCTCATCCATAAAATAGGGAGGTTTAAAATCAGCTGTATCTTTAGTCCTTTCTCATAATCAATTTTTTATTCTACCTATATAATAAGGGAGGTAAATTATTTCTATAAGGGTAAGTCATTATTCAACATTAATATCTATAAAGTACACACTGTCATACTTTAGTAAGAAACATTTCACATTAATTCAAAGAGTTGCATTTTATCTATAAAAATACATACATTTATTCTTACCGGCAGTCTTTTCATTTTGACCTAAAGCATTATGCCGTCTTTTCCACAAGGTAATGGGTTCTTTAGATCTAAGAGCCACAGAGTGATGGCTTTTGTCATGATCAGGACACCTTTGGGTACAACATAATGTCCTATCTTGATGGGCAACCATTTGAGTGCTACTTGGATGATTTATTTTTGCTAAAGTTTGGCACTCAGAAGAATGATATGGTAGAGATGGCATCACATTGACTAAGTCAGAACAGACATCTGAGAATGGAAGATCAATTTCTTGATTCCACTGATTCAGTTCAGGTTCTGTTGGATGCACATGTTTTGAATTAAAACAGTCAGGTGTAATAAAATTCAGAGAATTTTCAGGCTTTACTGATTGACACTGAGGCACCTGTATCTTTTTAGCACTCCTAATATTTGAAGGAGATTTAGGAGGAGGATGAGGTACAATTATCTTACCCTGAGCATGTAAAAATGTGTTGGCTTTGTTTGCAGACTGTGGTTGAATAACAGTGCCTTTTCTGTTTGTGTATATAAAGCCTGGTTGGACCTTAGCAGATCTTGTTCTTCTAATTACTTTTGCTCCACAGTTTTGTAGAGTTTTCTCAGTTTTAGAGTCACCACTAGGGGCTTGACTTTCCTCCTTTTGTGAAGCTGACCAGGCTTGTTTAGCAATATTATAACCTGAAGGTATAAAACTGTTCCAAGGCACAAGGTCTGTTCCAGATTCTCCTAAAGTAGTGACATTTTCAGAGACAGAATCATCTGTGGGCTTTTTCCTATCAGCAGAAGTTACAGCACAAGCAGGAACTGAAATCATGTTGCTGGCAACATCACTTTCACTTTGAATGTGGAATGGTTGAGACCACTGTTGTGATATTCCTATTCTATTTTTCAGCGAATGATTTTCTTCAGCATTTTTTCCTATATCTCCAGTTTCATCAAACCACCTCAGTTTTTTAATAGTCTTTGGGATTTCTTCAAATTTCCCTTTTTCTTTTGTTAATTCAATACTATCTCTGATAGTTGCTGCTTTCTGATTTCCTAACTTAAAGCCTTGGTTTATAAGTAGTGCCTTAAAACAATCATGTTCATATTTAGAGTCTTTCTTTAAAATACTTTTAAGAAACCTCACATCATCTCTCGCATGAATGTTGTATTCCAATTTCTTGTGCTCACCAAATAAGTCACAATTAGATAATGATGTTGATGTTTCCAATATTTTTTGTTTTTTATCTTTTGACTCAGAGTTGTGAGGTATACAAGTGGCTTCAAAATTGTCTGAAAATAAAAAAAACTCTTGTTTATTACAGTTAAGATATTTTATATTTTCATCTTTAACATCTTTCAATTCCCTTAATTTATCAGAACACTGCACTGGGTTCATTTCTTTTATACATCTACTGTTCTTTGGTAAAGGCCTAGCTGATTGTGTACTAGATGGCAAAGCTAAAAGTGTTGCTGCGGGTACAAATGAAGTAGGAGCTGAAGTAGTTCCATCTTCTCGAGTTAATTCAGGATATTTCTCTTGGTCTGAAAATGAAGTCATTTCCTGGGGTAGAGAATCTGGAGTGGTCCAGGCTTTGCTGCATTTAAAGATTGGGCTTTCAGTAACTAATGGTCTTTCCCTTTTGAGTGCTCCGGAAGTGAAGTCAGTTGTCCTCACTGTGCTAGTTTCAGAGATCTTTTCCATATTTTTATCTTGTACAAATATGGGTGGATTATCTACAGAGGCTCCTGAATTATTAGTGGTATTTGTGGCTCCTTGGATAGTACTACTCAGGGCAGATGAATTTTGCTGTTTAGTATTAAAACGTTCACATGAAGGTTTACTTAAAACATCTGAGAAAGGTGTGAAAGTCTGAGTCTTTGGATCGTCTAATTTGACAAGCCAATTATTTATACGTTGAGTTTTAGAGAATGACAGTTTATCTTCATCAAAGCAGCTTAGATTAGTTGATTGCAGATTTGCTGATTGGAAGGAATTCTGCTGGATTGATGGAGAAGGCTCCTTATTAATTGTTAAATATATTTTTTCATGTTCCCCAGCCTCAAGACTGTCTATACTTGAGAGGGTTTCAGAATTTGTTATCTGATTAACTTCATCACAAAATTTCTGAAAAAGCAAGCAAACAAACTTTTTTATAGCTTAGAAACCTTTAATTGCTCAAATTAATGACACAACACACCACTGAGCAGAGTCCAATTTTCTCTGGCACACAAAATAGAGTAAAATGACTATGGACAGTGTAGGTATGTAAATACTCAATATTCCTAGAGGGGTCTCAGAGTGAAAAAGAGGGAGCTAGTAAAGACTTGTAATAAAGTGTGTTGGCCTTAACTTCTATGCTGAAAGTAACTACCCAAATACTCTACCATGGTTATAGCTTGGAAAAAATTTTGCTGTTTCTATTCCACTCAAAGTAGGGAGTTTCTTAAAAGTTTCAAATAGCATGTGAAATTCTGAAAAAACAATTATTTACAAGTGGTATTTTTTTCTGAAGCCATCACTGGAATTGAATGAGGCTAGTGTGGGCTTCCTGCTGGTAGAGCTGCATCTTTTTATTGAAATTATCTCATAGTCCATGTGGTAGAGCTCTCATGCTGACTGCATATTAGAATATTACATTATACTTTCAAATAGAGTTCATGTTTGTCAGAAACTACCTTTATAAAGTATATTTTTCTAAATATAAGAGAAGGAAAAAGTGACGGAGGAAACAGAGATTAAAATGAGTGAAAGGTAAGGAAAAAATTAAAAAAATTATTACCCTAACATTCATGATGAATTTATGTGGATCGACCCACACTCTCTCTAATAGCCTACCATTGACGAATGACATACATTTCTTTAGTGGAGAACACTGAAAAAATGGGACAGAATTATTATTAGATGTTAAAATGTTAGTCACATATTTATAATTTCATACTTGCAAACTGCTCAGATGTTGATCTTCTAGGAGTTTCTGAGTTTCCTCTAGTTTAAGCTGGAATACATCTTTGTTCATGGACAAGTCTGTCCTGCTGTTTTCCTTCATTTCTTTATCACAATTGATTTTGAATGAGTGATGTTTCTGATGCTTGTAGTCACATTTTAACAATGATGAAGGCAAGGCATTATTTATAACTCTGTGAACCACACATAAAAGAAGTTTAGTACATTTCAATGAAATTAACTTCTTTCTATATACACATAAAAAACACACTTATGTAATATGGGTGTGTATGGTGTGTGTGTCCAGATAATCACATATAAGGATATTGGAGAAATATACAGGCCTAGTAGGACAGGAATTCCAGGCAGTCAATTGTAGAATAAAAATGTATGTGGGATTACAGTGCCAATAAAGTACTTCCCCTTCATGTAGGAATGCCCAGTTATTCATGGCTTTGGTTAAGAAATCCTATTTCTCTATTGCTTGGGATAGATATAGAAGGAATTTCTGTAGCTTTGTAAAGTAGGTCCTCAATTATTTAAGAGGATTCCTCACTGGATAGTAATATAATGCATTACTCTTAGTTCTGAGTTAATGTCATGACTGGTAGCTGTTCCTCTAATCTTAGAGTAGGCAGGAATTTCCATTCTGTTTTACTAGGTGAAATAGAGGATATCCAGACATTTGTTTTCAGTTGTATCACACATATAAGCATGGTTTTCATGCTACAGAAGGGTACTCTTAATGTAGAGTTTACTTTTAGTGCCACTTCTAAGGGGTATCACCAAAAAATTATTAATGGATTACATCATTTTCTACTAGAATTTTGCATCTTCTGAAATGTTATAGCATGATACATCTCAGTACATGTAAAAGTGAAAGACAAAGAACAAAGGAAGATGTGGGGTCTCTTATTTGAGGATGAGGTGTATTAAATAGCTGATTACTGCTGCACTAGACCAGTCATGTGAATCTCAAGGGCGTTTTTTCCTGATTCAGTTTAATTCAATTATCCAATTCAATGAGGATACAAATGTTTTGAAAGGTGACCCATGGCCACCTGCAACAGAGACCTATCTCCAATACCCATATATATCTTATTTGGACAGACTGGAATAATCAGTTACCAAATTGCTGACTATCCTTCTGTGACCACAGAGAGAGCAGGGAGAGCAAGAAGGTATTCAACAATAGTTCCTGGACATTGAGAGATTATTCATCTCTTCGTTTTAGGCTTTCCTGTGCTCATATAATCCCCTTCAATTGCCCTTCCCAAACGAAATAAAGCTAAATCTACAAAATATCTAATGAACTCGATTTATTTACCTTTAAAGTTGTCGTCTCTCAACTTTTTCTTCTCTATTTCTTTCTTCTCTACTCCACTTTCTTCTCTTCTCTTCTCTACTTTCTTCCCCCAGTGAGGAGGATTGAAGGGATGGATAGGAATGAAAGGAGATGGGCAGACAGAAAGAGAGGGAGACTGAAGCATGGGGGGAAAGGAAGAAGAAATCATAAAGGAAGAAGAACAAGGAGGAATTGGAGAGGGAAAATCTAAATAAGTTAGAGGCAAATGTGGAGAGGGAGATGAATGCAATGGAGAAGAAAAAAGAGGGACAGGTAGAGGCAAAGATGGAGAGGTAGAAGAGGAAAGTGAAGGAGAGGAAAGGCTGGATGAAGAGGAAGAAAACTGCATAGAAGGAGAAGATGACGTGGAGGAAGGAGATGAAGACAAAGAAGAGGCTGGAGAATGACAGGGAGGTGGAAGGGAGAGCACTGAGGCAGGTGGATGGTCTACAAAGGCCTGGGGCAGATTTGACAATGTTGTGGTTTGTGGAATAGACTGTTGGACTGGCTGGAAAGAATCTAAGCTAGCAAAATGTTCAGGTAACGGAGCAATATAAGAAAGAGTAGGGACTGATTGATGAGGGGGATGACTGGACAAACAGGAAGGTTTCAAAAGAGGAAGAGCTTCCAAAGGGGATGGGGAAGCAACCAGTCGAGCTGGAAGGGAACGGCGAACAAGGGCAGGCGTTAGAGTGGCTGGGGTAGAACGCTGTGTTGGAAGGACATTCTTGGGTCTGAACGTTTTGTAAAATAACTTGTTTTGTGAGTCAGGATCAGGAATTGGAGAATTTTGGGGTGGGTGGGGTAGGTGGTCAGGTGGGCGAGAAAGAATTGGGGCTGGTAGACGAGGGAAACCACTAGAAAAGCTGGGAGTAACTGGGGCTGGAGGGCGAGGAAGATATTTGATTGGGTTGGACAGCAGTGGGGCTGGTAAAAAGGCCTTTGGCCGTGTAGAGGGGTCAGACGGACAGACAGGCAAGGTATTGAGCTGGCGTGTTGAAGAAACAGTTGGATAACTAGGTAGAATTTGGGAATAGTGGGATAGCAATGGGGCCCGAGAAGGAGACAGCTGATCAGGTAAGTAGGGATCAGGTGTGGAGACAGCTGGCCAGGCAGGAATGGATCTGCACAGGTGGAAAAGCATTTGGACAGGCAGGTAGAGAGATAACCTTATTAAGATGGTTTTTCTTATTTATTGGGCTGCCTCTAGGCTTTTGATTCATATTATGTTTTGTTCTCAGGGTCCATGAATAATCTTTGAGTCAACAATGTTCTCTCGCACGGGCTGAGAGAAATGTACATAGTTTATTCAGGTTCCCCTTTTCTCATTCCTTGCTCTTGAACACTTTCACCTCACAGAACTCTGACAGCCATAGAGATAACAACTACAAGCTGGACAGTCTGGTTTAAAGTACTGGTACAAAGGGCAAACAGAGGTCAAACAGACCACTGTTCAGTTCTAGCCAGATTTTTCAGGACAGCATGTAGTTCAGAGTTGACTGTCTCACCACAAATATATGGATATTGGAGATAGATATCTAACATCATTTTAAAGTACAAAAATGTAATATGGGGGAAAACATGCATCTTTTACTCTATATCTACCAGAATGGCAAGTATAATATCTTTGCGATTAGAGTTTGGCTGTAATGGAAGACTTATTATTTATATATATATTTTTTAAAGATTTATTTTATTTATTTATTTATACAAGAGCCAGGGTACAGGCCAGATGAGCGGGAGGGTGATAAGATTCACCAGAGACAGAGCAGGGAACAGAACAGGCATACTGACGAAATACACTGCTGAGGGGAGCAGCGGGCGAGACAGGAGAGGTCTGCTGAGCCATGTGGGACCCTCCCCAGCTGGCTGGGATCGAACCAGCACTGCAGAGGCTGCGGACAGCTTCCCAGAGTGGTGCTCAACCACCTGTGCCACCAAGGGAGGCCCTATTATTTATATTTTTAATGTTTTAATTTAATTTAATGTATTAATATTCTTATATCTCATTATTTCCTGAAGAAGTTTCGATTTTCCTATAGACATATTCTCTGATTTTTCATGAGGCTTGAACATTGAATACCCTCCATTTTTTCATACATTCTTTTCTCCTTTAGATTATTACATTACCATCACCTTAAATTATTTTAATCTATCACCAATATTTTCCACATTAGAGCAATTGTTATGAGTACTGATATAACTCCACTCTTTGGAAGCTCCCTGTTTCTTGGCATTACTTTACCCTCAACACATTTTAACTTGATATTCTACATTTGTATAAAATACATTCTGTATTTTTAATATGTCAGCAACTTAATATTTGTAGCTTAATTATATTTGCTATAAATATTTCTTTTTTTAGTACATATAAGTATTTCTTTTTTTTTTTTTTATAGAGGCATGTTTTCTTTCTTTCTTTCTTTGTTTTTTTTGTTTTATACATGCACTGGGTACAGTCAGAAGCGCGGGAGGGTGAGAGAATTCACCAGAGCCAGAGCGGGGAGCAGAGCAGGCAGAAGGACCGAAGTACACTGCTGAGGGGAGCAGCGGGCGACAGGAGAGGTCTGCGCGCCATGTGGGACCCTCCTCCGGTGGCCGGGGAGCAGCCGGGGATCGAACCGGCGCCGCAGAGGCTGTGGGCAGCTTCGCAACCCAGCGCTCAACCGCTGCGCCACCGGGGAGGCCCCATATAAGTATTTCTAATAACACCTGAGCCTTAATATTCTAAGATATCTTACTTATATAGCATTTGATAATTTATGTAGCACAGTCACACAAATTATTTAATACTGTTACCTATGGACAGAAGTTCAACTTTTTAATAAGTAAACAATAGTGTTCTCTATAAATTATATATATTTGCTGTCTACCAAATACATAACATCTGCATGTACATATATATAGATAAAGGTATCGTGAAGTTGTAGTTATAATGGTATATTACAATAATGACATGAAAACTATTCTAATTTAGAATGGAGGATTTCTCATAAAACAAAGATGATGTGTATTACTCAATGGCTCTACCACAGATCTGGTCTAGTGGTAACTATTTGCTAAGGGAAATCAAAGTGGTTCTGACTCTTTCTTCTAAGACTTTAAGGAACACTGTTGAACAAAACAAGTCTATCCTTTAATTCATAGCACAGAGGAGATTTTTTTAAATTGAAAATATGTGATAACACAAAAGATAACAACTGGTGTACAGAAACAGAAAAGTGAGAGTAAGAAGAACCTGCATTCAAAGATGCAAGTTACTTTTATACTAAATGTTGTGACTTTTTTTTTTAATCACTCTAAATTCCTCCTAGGGCCCCCATCTGTCATTTTTCTTTTTCAGACAAGCTTTTCTATAAGTACTCTAGAATTAGTTGCCATACTGCCTCAACTTCCACTAGCTCGTTAACTCACTCTACCTGGCTTCCCCCTCTACCACATCAGTGTACAGCTCTTGCTAGCAATCAGCTCACTGACCAGTAACTGACCACTTCTTGACCACCATCTTTCTTGACTTTAATTCCTTTGATTTCCATATCATCAGGCTTTCCCGATGTTCCGTTTCAGGGTATTTCTTGAATTTATCTTTCTTTGTTTATCATTTATAGGCTGGAATTTTAAAAAGTTAAATGACCCTCTTCTTTGCTTGCTCTACATACTCTGAGTAATCTTACTTGTACTGTCTGTGTGCTCTCATCTACATTTGTATGAGTAAAGAGTTACCAATTCTGTTCTTCTCTGTGAATCAATTCAACTTTGGTTTAACTTTCTAAATCTTTTCCCCTGGATTGTTAGTAGGATTTGAGTTACTTATGGTAAAATGATCCTTCAATAGTAAACTGCATCAGG